ATCTTTGTCAATGGGCCATTAAAAGGCTGGAGCCAGTCTAATCTACATAACAAAGATCTCCACCTTCATCTTCAGGGTGATGGGATTAAGGCAGTGTTTCTCAACCTTGTCAACTTGAAGATGTCTGGACTTCAACTCCCAGAATTCCCCAGCCAGCATTCGCTGGCTGTGGAATTCTGGGAGTTGAAGTCCAGACATCTTCAAGTTGACAAGGTTGGGAAACACTGGATTAAGGCATGATAGGATTAGCCCTTTACCCATCTCTCCACAGGGCACCTGGGAAGAAGCAATGCTCAACCAAACATGGACTCAAGGCACAGCCTAGAGAGTTGCCCCCTACTGGAGGTGGTGCAATGGAGATGTTGCAATGAAGGGGCTTTGGGCAATTCCTATTGTGGCTGGGGGCTAATCCTATCTTTATTGGATCTTGGGTGAGGGTATTTGCCTATGAATAGAGCTCGCTATCTCTTTATCTCTAAAGTGCTGACATCTGCTGAGGGCTGTTCAGAAAGGTGGGGGCTGCTTTCCAAGGGCATCTTTTTCCATTTCTCCCTTTAGCAAAATATAATATTCTACCTTTTTAATATTTCTCAAAATATTTCATTCTTCTACGAGAGAGGTGGGCACTTGGAACTGAACCAGGTGGATATTTCTTCCAACAAAACTCTTAAAACATTTCAGACAAACAGTTGCCCAATCTCTTGTTAAAAACTTCCAGTGTTTGAGCATTCAGTTGTTCTACTGATTAATCAGAATTTCTCCTTAGGTTCTAGGTGGCATCTCTCCATTGCTTCTTGTCCTGCCTTCAGGTGGCAACTCCTGAGATATTGGAACATTGTTATCATGTCACCTCTAATCTTTTTCATTAAACTAAACATACTGAATTCCAGCAACTGTTCTTTATATGTTTTAGCCTCCAGTCGTCCAAATCATCTTTGTTGCTCTTCTTCTTGGAAAAAATATTGAGACTCTAGAAAGAGTGCAGAGAAGAGCAACCAGGAGGATGAGGGGACTAAAGACTAAAACATGAAGACCAGTTACAGAAACTGGGCATGGCTAGTCTAGGGAAGAGAAGGACCGGGGGGAGACAGGAGAGCAGTCTTCCAATATTTGAGGGGCTGCCAGAGAGACGAGGGGATAAAGCTATTCTCCAAAGCACCAGACAAGGAATATTGGATGGAAACTTGATGAAGATGAGAAATAAGAAATAAGGAGGAATTTGCTGACAGTGAGAACAATCAACCTATAGAACAGAAGTTTCCTTCGGAAGTTGTGGGGGATTCATCACTGGAGGCTTTCAAGAAGAGACTGGACTGCCATCTGTCAGAAACAGTGTAGGGTCTCCTGCTTGGGGTTGGACTAGATGACCTCCAAGGTCCCTTCCAACTCTGTTAATCTGTTAAATCCAAGATTATTCTCGATCTCAGTTTCCCAGGCGCCAAATCTCAATTTAAAGGCAAAAGCTGTCATAGAACAGTTTAATGCAGGGGTCCCCAAACTTGGCAACTTTAAGACTTGTCGACTTCAACTCCCAGAATTCTCCAGCCAGAATCCACAAGTCTTAAAAGTTGCCAAGTTTGAAGACCACTGGTTTAATGTGACTGCCTGGTAAAGGCCTCGTTCTAAGCCAACGGCTGCATCCCCACCACATACCGCTGAATCACAAGCAACCTAATTTTAGCTTAGCCTTGTTTCTTATGGGAACGCAGCAGCAGCAGCAGCAGCAATAACAACAGTAAACACGGTTACGAAACGCGGTAGGCTGCACAGACTGCGGACTCCAACTCCCTTCCACCCCTGCCGATGGATCCAGTGAGAAGGAATCATGGGAGTGGTAGTCCAAAAGGGGGACGCGTGCGCGCTGCGCACCAACCAAGATCAACCTCCCCGCCTCCGGATTGACAAGTCGTGCTCGGACCTCCTCCCGCCCTATCGCGCTTCCCCTTCCATCCTTTCCCGTCCAGCGACCACTCATGATAGGTCCACGTTCGGCGCAAGGTCGTCCCGACGGCCAATCCCCGACGGCCACAGCGACGTCGCCACAATACGGGAGGCGTGGCCTGAGCCGCCCGCGACGCTATAAAAGGAGCCGCCGCCGCTTTAGAGGCCGCTGTTGTTGTCGACTGAGGCGGGTGTTTTTTTTTTTGGTGGGAGAGCGGAAGTTGGGTGGTTGGTTTTTTTTTGAGGCCGCAGAGGATGGAAAGCGGGCAAGCCGTGGAGGAGGAGGTGGACCTCGTCGTGAAGAGCCCCGCGCAGCGCCACCCGGACCTCCTTCTCTCGGCCCGGCGCTCCTGGAGCGTCCGGCGCCTCAAGGCTGAGCTGCGATACCTTCACCCGGATGAACCGGTGAGCTTCTGAAATACGCATGCGCATTAGCCCGTCTCCGTTCTCTCTCTCTCTCTCTTCCCCCCCCCACCCCTTGCCCGTTCCCTAAGTGGAGCATTCTTGGACGGGCGCAGTCTATCCCGCTTCGCTTTGTTGGCTGGGGATGGCGTGCCAGGGCATTTTTGGGTCTCGGGGTGGGTTTCTAGGGAGGGGTCAGACGATGAAGCTGGGGTTAGGATTTCGAAAGTGGCTTTAAACGCCTTTTCCTGCCTGGGGGGGGTCGCTGAGATGGGCTTGGGAGTCCTTCCCCTCCCCCATGGGAGTTGTCCCTTTGCCAACATGGAAGCCCTTTGGACTTCCTCCAACGTGGGCTGGGTTGGGATAGTCTGGAGTCTCCTCCCCCTCGCCGCTTGGTCGTCTTCCCCTTTTTTTCTGGGCTTGGTGAATCGCCCCTCTGCTCTGTGGGGGGATGGAGCTTCTGAGCAAGTGCAGAGTGCATTTCCTGTGCTGGGTGCAATGCAAAGGTTGCATTTGAAGAAAGGGGGGCGGAACGCACGTTATTCCCCCCCCCTTGCAGGATTGTGAGTTTATCCCCAGTGCTTTTCTGACCATGCACAGAGCGCTTTGGCTCTGGCCCGTGATTCAGAGCAAGGATGGTGTTGCATTTGAAAAAAGGAAAATACCCTGCAGGGGTGATTTATCCCAGCGTTTTTCTGAGAAAATGCCAGGTGGTTAGCAACTCCAGGAAGTTGCTTTCTCTGAAATGGATGTTGTTCCCTTTTGTTGAGGATTTCAATCAACCAGAATAGAGCTGGAAAGGGACTTTGGAGGTCTTCTAGTCCAACCCCCTGCTCAAGCAGGAAGACCCTACACCACTCCAGACAAGTGACTGTCCAGTCTCTTCCTGGTGGTGTCCCATCTCAGGGTCTGACCTTGTGGAGGTTTTATCAGCTCCTGTCCTGTTCAATAATTTTAAAGGGATTTCTCAGTCATGACCTTTGCCTGCTGCGCTCACCATAGGTGTCCTGTAGGTATTTGAATTTTCTTTTTAAAAAAATCTGAGTAATGGGCAAAAAATTATCCTGATTTATTTATTTTTTTACCCCATTTATGTTAGGTTTGTAGAAGGCGGTCCCTTCCCTCCCCCCCTCCCCCAAATAAATATCCTGTGTGGGTTGGCTCTCCAGAGAGAAGCAGCCTGGCCCACTTTTCCTGCAATATTTTCATGGAAATTGCCAATATTAAAATGATGACATTTTGCTGGGTGTGTTGGTGCTTTGGCTTGGGAGCAATTAGTCAGCTGAATGGCTTGCCTCCAGATACTGCGTGCTCCCATCACTGGAGGGTTTTTTTCAAGAGAGAGATTGGACAGCCATTTGTCTCTGGTTGAGCAGGGGGCTGGACTGGAGGACCTCCAGGGTCCCTTTCATCTGTTACTGAAAGTTCTGATTAATAGAATACTTCCTTGTGGTAGCTGCTTGTGAGAATTGTAGCTTTCCAGGACATGAGGCCAAAGTGAAATGCCTTTTCCCCATCAGTAATCAGTATATTTATATTATGAAACATTTATAGACTAGGTCATCTGGAAAAAGAAACATTTTGTTCTTGGTGCTCTATGTATTTCAATTCCCCCCCTTCCTCCCCCAAAAAACCCTCTGTTACTTGCTGTTAACATTCAGGAATTTTAGATTCTAAAGCTAATGCTTAAAGCAGAAAAAAATATAGTTTCTGATTGCCTTTTTGTATCTCTCCGCCTACAAAACAAAATGATCTTGGCACTATTTGCTTTGCAAAGCAAAGATGATGCAACTGAGAGCCAACTGCCAGCATTTTCTTTGTTTGAAGTTGTTTAAAGTTAACTCAAGCAGAAGAAGAGGTTTCAGTACAGTTTCATAATTAATGTTTGTGTGTTTCTATATTTTGGGACCTTGTTCCCCTTTGCCTGATACTGACAAGGTTAAATGCTTTGGCCATGTAATAACAACAAGATAAGGCTGGATTGGAAGGGGACAGGATGGAAATTAATAAAAAGTTTTCATTGCATGCAACAGGGAAGGCAAAAGGAATGGGGGGAAAAAGATCTTAAAACAATGTAAGAGGTGGTTTTAATACAAAATGTCCCAAGGCTGGGTGGTGCCTGTGACCTTTCCCTGGAATTTGGGAAGTTATTTGGCAGCACCGCCCTTCCCCAAGGCCACTAGTGAGGTAGGCTGGGTGGGTGCAGCTCCATGTCCCTCATTGCCCATCTGTTTTGGCCTTCCATGCCAAGTTCAGCTCAGTTGACCTCTTAGGGACCCCGACCTTCACAACATAACACTTCACAACACAACACGTTGATTGTACAATGACCCTTTCTACTTTGAGTTGGGTGTTTAATCTTCCGCCCAAGGATTTCTTTCCAGAAGTTTGGAGCAGGGGGAAATGAGTTTTACTCTGCCCATGAAACCAACACTACAAAACCCAAGGTGCAGAACAGCCAGTTCCTCAGATGATAAGCCTCCACATTTGTGTGTGGGGGGAAGCTACTTGTCAACACCTTTGAAAGATGTCTGGTTGAGAAAGGCTAGTACTGGTATAAACCAGTCTTTAAATCTAGAATTTCTAAGGAATAATGCCTTGGCTTAAAGACAAAGCCATTGGGTTATCCGAAGGTTAAGAGGCCTATCGAAATCTACTTTTAGGTACTAATTAGCAATCAAAGGAAAGTTTAGGTGAGAAAGCTTTCCTGAAATGATTGACATAAATGCCTGCCAGTTTAGCCTTAGGTTGGTAATAACTGCAAAAGGTTGGTTTTTGCCCAAGGTGTACAGTCTTACCTGGATTCAGAAGAAGCCATAATGTGACCCTGATCAGAAGCAGGATTCGATCTTTTAGTAACTTTTATTTTAAAAAAAATAAAAATAAAGGAAAGGTTACAAAAAAGACATCTGCAAATATACACAGGTAGTCCTTGGCTTACCACAGTGGAGGGCAACATTTCTGTTGCTAAGTGAGGCAGCTAAAGTGAGTTTTCCTTTTGTACCACAGTCAAGTGAATCCCTGGAGTTAGCAACACAGTTAAGTGAATCTGGTTTCCCCACTAACTTTGCTTGTCAGAAGGTGGCAAAAGGGGACTCACAGGACCCTGGGACACTGCAACCGTCCATAACTATGAGTCAGTTGCCAAGCATCTGAATTTGGATCACATGGCCATGGGGATGCTGCACTGTCATAAGTGTGAAGAATGGTCATTAATTCACTTTTTTTCAGTGCTGTTGTAACTTTGAACAGTCACTAAATCAGGGGTGCCCAAACTTGGCAACTTGAAGACTTGGGGACTTTAATTCCCAGAATTTTCCAGCCAGCTGGCTGGAGAATTCTGGGAGTTGAAGTCCCCAAGTCTTCCAAGTTGCCAAGTTTGGGCACCCCTGCAGTTAATGAACTGTTGTAAGTCATTCTACTGTGGTTTCACTACATGCAGCCAGCTCCTCCTGTAAACTCTCTTGTGCAAATGGGTGTTTGTTTGTTTCCATGATTTAGCTGCTCTTGTAAGCCTATTGACCAAAGACAAAATCTCCCTGGGCAGTTCAGCCACAGGAAACCACTGGAATCCAGCAGTAATCTCAATTCAAGGGGGAGAAATATTTTCCTCTTCAGAAGTGACCTAAAGGTCATTGCTCAGCTGGTTGTCCAAAGATCAGCTGTTTATAATTTACAACAAGGAAAACCCGCATACTTGCACATTTATAAGAATGAGGAATCTTGTTCTGGAAAAAGATTTTTTTTTAAATTGCTTTTTCTTCTCTCCCTTCAAAGCCTGAAGAAGCTCAGCGGTTGATCTACTCTGGAAAGTTGTTGCCCGACCATCTCTTCCTGCAAGAGGTCCTCACCAAGGTACGTGGGGGTCTGCCCTGCTCGCCTTTTGCTTTCAGCCATCAATGGAGCATCGAGGAAATGTGCTCCCCACATGGCTTTGGAAACTTTTAATGAACGCTTTTTTGTTTATGCAGGAGACCGTCCACGCTCTTCATTTGGTGTGCAATTCTAAGAACCTGCCCACGATGCCAGGAACGGAGCCGAAGGTATTGTGATCATTTGATATATTAGCTTATCGCCAGCTTGGAGGATCAGATATTTTGTGATCTGGGCAAGATTTTTAGATTGTACCAAACCCGTTAATGGGGATTTTTGGGTGGGGCGGAGACAGATGCCCAACAGATAAAGGTAATGGCTGGCTATAACATATTCCAGGTGAACCACCTTGAGTCATGGTTAGGCTTTCTTGGCCAGCAGTGTTGAAAGCAGGGATTTGGGTCTGTAGGTGGTCATTCTGGGACAGCTTCATAAGCTTGGCAACCGTGTGGACTTCAACTCCCAGAATTCCCCAGTCAGGCAGCACTTGCTCCTTGGGCCGGTCCTTCAGCATGCTGGTGGGAGCATTCTAGAAGCCCACACATCTTAGTTGCCAGCCTTGAGAAATAAACGTTCTAGGACAGGGGTTGTCAACCTCAAACACTTTGGACCCATTTCCCACCCAAAAGAAAACTCCGGGAGCCACAAAACCTTTCCTGTGCCTGACTATTTCCTGAGCGGTCACAAAACTAGTCTATATGGAGTTGAATTAAACATTCTGTTTTCTTCTGAAACACGGGTGGAAAAGCTCATGAAATTACGTGCCAATCACGAGTGTCACACATTGGCGGGTGTGACGCATATTTTGAGCAACAGGGAGCTGCAGCAGAGGGATGAAAGAGCCACATATGGCTCCAGACCTGCCGGTTGCTGACCCCTGTTCTGGGATGTCAGAAAGTAGCCAACTGACCCAGGGGCTAAGCTCACAGGAAGCCAGGCGTAGCAGAACAGGTGAAGTCAGCCATGATTCTTCTATAGGTTGAATAGACCTTAGGGTAGGGTGTCAAAACTTGGGAACTTTAATTTAATTTTGCATTTAAGTACAATGACAATAAAGATTATACTTATACTTTAAGACTTGTGGACTTCAACTCCCAGAATTCCCAGCCCGCCAACAAAATTGGGAGCCCTGAGTGGGATAGAGCCCATTAAATGGCTAGTATGAATGTGTATTGTTGCTGGAGTGTGGGTGATTACTGTATTTTCTAGAGTAGAAGATGCACCTTTCCGCCCTAAAAAAGCGTGGAAATGTTGGTGCTTCTTACACACCAAATACAGCCATTTTTGGCCTCTCAAAGCCCTGCCACTGCATCCCATTTTTGTAAAAAAAATGAGTGAAAAATAGTCCATTTTTTGCAAAAACAGGGGCATTTTTGCCCCCCCCCCCCCGAAGCACTCTGCAGCCTTCAGCAAGGCTGGGGGAGGCAAAAATGCCCCCATTTTGGTGAAAAACGGGGCATTTTTGCCTTCCCCCCCGCCCGACTAAACCCTGCAGAGTGCTTCTGAGGGCCAGGGAGGAAAAAACCTTTTTTTCTTACTTATCTCTTTGAAATCTTGCTGCGTCTTATATGCTGGTGCATCTTACAGTCCGAAAAAGACGGTATTTTATTTTTATTTTATATCGTGTTTTTATATCCCTTTTTATATTCAGTCTTGAGTCACCATGTGCGAGCAGGCGATGGCGGTACACATTTTCTAAATCCTAAATAAAACAGAATCCTTTACTTTAGAGCAGGGCTGTCAAAACTCGATTTCATTGAGGGCCACATCAGGGTTGCATTTGACCATGGGGGTCAGGATGGGCGTGGCCAGCTTGATGTCACTCATGTTGGCACCTGTGGCCCCACCGCTCTGCCAGAGAAAACGGGCTCCTGAGCTCCTCTTTTGGCTGGGATGGCCCCCTGAAAGCCTCTGCCAGCAAATGCTGGGAGGGCCGCGTTATCACTGACAGAGGAGGCACCTTGGCCTGGTCCTTTACTGATTTCAGGGCGGCCCCCTCGGGTCAGATCTAAGCACCCTGTGGGCAGGATCTGGCCCCCGGGCATTGAGTTTGGCACCCCTGCTCTAGATGGCTGTGTGAGAGCCTGCAATGGAGCAGAATACCTGGGACGGACCTTTTGAAGCCGGTTTTAAAATGCAGCGGTACATTTCTGTTGGTTCAGGTGGCTGAAGCCAAGGAGCAGTCCACAGCATCGGGCCAAAATCCTTCGGCCCTTCCTCCAAGCTCTGCTCCCAGCCAAGGACAGGCTGCCCCAGACCCGCCTGTGACCACAGAGGAAGCTGACACGAGGTACGTTTGAGCATCCAAGTTCTTATTTGGGGGGGGGGGGGCGAAGAACAGAAACATCTGTGATTTGACGGTGAAGTTTCTCCATCATCCAGGTATAGTTGGCTGGGAGTTTGAGCAGCTGGACTTTTCCTTTTTGGTTTGAACCGGCTCCAGTTGCCATGACTCAGCTTGCAGTGATTTGAATTCCAGGCTGGGTAACTTCATGGGCAGAGCCACGTCGATTCCTGGCTCAGAACAGAAGCTCTCTGCTTGCTTCTGGGATGTGTGTTTGCCTCTCCAAACTCTGGGATTTCATCGTTTTATGTCCCATCAATGCCTCGGCTGTGTTTCGTTTTCCACAATCTGTTAAATTCAACTAGGTATTGCCACGTAAGACTCATGGAGTAGATGGGACTGACTTTTTCAGAGTATAAGATGCATCTTTTCCCCTCCAAAAAAAAGGAGAAAATCTGGGTGTGTCTTATACACCGAATACAGCATTTTTGGCCTACCAAAACCTCACCTCCTTCACCAAAATGGCTGTGCAGAGCCTGTAGGAGGCTTTCAGAGTGCGGGGGGGCTGTGGAGGGCAGAAATGAGTAAAAAACTGGCCGTTTTTTGCTCATTTTTGCCCCCCAACCCCCAGGAGCCTCCTAAAGGCTATGCATGCCCCTTTTTTGATGAAAAATGGGCCTGTTTTTGCAATAAATGGGCCGTTTTGGGGAGGTCTGCAGAGTATAAAAACTCTTTTTAAATTTGTCTCTTTAAAATCTTGGTGCGCCTTACACTCCGAAAAATACAGTAGTTTGATTTGTATCCCGCTTTTATTATTTTTATAAATAACTCAAAGCAGCTAACAGGTCCAGTGTGCACCTTCCTTCCCTTAGTTTTCCCCACAATAATAAAACTCTGAAGTGAGTTGGGGTGAGAGGGAAGGATTGGCCCAAGAACAGCCAGTTGGCTTTCATGGCTAAGGTGGGACTTGAACTCATGGTTTCCCCTGCTTTCTAGACTGGTCTCTTCAACTACTACACCAGGGGTGTCCAACCTTGGCAACTTTTTAAGATTTTTGGATTTCAACTTCCAGAATCCCCCAGACAGCCATGGTGGCTGGGGGAAATTCGGGGAGTTGAAGTTCACAGTTGCCAAAGTTGAGCTAACCCTACGGTGGACCAAACTGGCTCTCTCTAGAGCAGTGTTTCTCAACCTTGGCGACTTGAAGTCCTGTGGACTTCAACTCCCAGAATCTCCCAGCCAGCTGTGCTGTGCTAGAGCCAAGGTGGCGCAGTGGTTAAATGCAGCACTGCAGGCTACTGCTAGATCAGCAGGTCAGCGGTTTAAATCTCACCGGCTCAGGGTTGACTCAGCCTTCCATCCTTCCGAGGTGGGTAAAATGAGGACCCAGATTGTTGGGGGCAATATGCTGACTCTCTGTAAACCGCTTAGAGAGGCCTGAAAGGCCTATGAAGCGGTATATAAGTCTACTGCTATTGCTATTGCTATTCTGGAAGTTGAAGTCCACAGGACTTAGAAGTTGCCAAGGTTGAGAAACACTGCTCTAGACTTAAACCCTTGTGCCAAATTATGAAATATTCATGCCAGCACCAAGTACCAGCACCAACATCAGGGTTTCTGATTTTTTCCTTTTTATCCTCAGAAGTGGGAGTAAATTTGGTGGCTCCTAGGCCTCTTTTTCATTGGTTGATAGTCAAAGGAAGGTGGAAGAAAAAAACAGGACAATTTTTCCTTTCACCCTCCTCTTGAAGCCAAAGCCAAGACCCAAATAAAGGCCGGGTGTGAAGCCACATCCGTGTTTATGAATTGGCTAGTACTGTGATGGCAAACCTATGGCTGTCACACCAGCTCAGCTCAACTGCGCACGCCACCCCTGCCAGCCAGCTGGGTTTTGGGTCTCTGCCACGCATGTGTGGGGCGCATGCGGGATGTGTGCATGCATGCGTGGGGGCAGGGGATGTTGTGTGTCCCCCTGGGTACAAAAAGGTTAGCAATCATGAGCTGGTGCTTTCCTACCAGGGACAAATAGAACAAGCTGTGACTGTAACATGGTTTAATTTTTGTGGGTGGGGGTGTTGTATACTTTACAAAAACCCCTTGTTAAAGGTCTCTAAAGGAGGGAGGAAAATATGGGTGGTCCTGGACTTAACAATGGGTCGCTTAGCAACTGCAACAGGCACCCCCCCCCCTCACCCCAGAAGGGTTTTGATGTTCTGACATCCTCCTTGGCGCAGTCACATGGCCCCATTGGGGGTGGTTGGCAACGGGCTTAAATTTACAGGGTTTGCAGCAGCCCAGGTGTCCGGGCCATGATTTATGATGGTTTGGCAGGAAACCAGCATTTCCAGGTAGTCTGGTTTTACTTGGGACCGTGAGTTGAGCCCAAAATTTTGGTTGCTAAGTGAGGAATTTTGTTCAGTGAGTTTTGCCTCATTTTATGACCTTTCTAGTGAATCTGGCTTCCCCATTGACTTTGCTTGTCAGAAGGTCACAAAGGGGGGGGTGTCACATGATCTCGGGTCACAAATATAGGCTAGTTAACATATGTTCAATGACCCTGGGACACTGCAACCATCATAAATATGAGCCAGCTGCTAAACGGCTGAATTTTGATCACATGACCATGGGAATGCTGCAATGGTCGTAAGTGCGGAAAATGGCCGTAAGTCACTTCTTCAGTGCCGTGACTTTGAACCAGTCACTAAATGAACTGTTGTAAGCCGAGGACTGCCTGTGCTTCAGATTTCTGGCAAGAAACAACCCAAGACAAATGATGGGCTGGCTTAACAACCACCACAGAAACGGTCGTAAATGTGGGTCTATTCAATTATAGTTGTAACTGGAGGACTATCTGTAATGTGGGCATTCTGTCTGTGTCTTCTCAACCAGATCTCCGATGACTCCAAATCCTTTTCAAGCGATGAGCTCCAGTTATTCCTCCTACACCACATACCATATGCTGCAGTTTTGGTTCCATCAACTCTACACAAGGCAGTACTACATGCAGTAGTAAGTTTTGCCTTGAATCTTCCATGTCCAAAGTCACATGCTAAGCTGTTCATAACACACGAAGATCATGGCACGTTTTTCAAAACAACCTTCCAGTAATACGAAGCTGTCAGTACGGGTGAAAATTTCATGTGTTTTGAGACTATCTGCACTGGCTTTATAACAATCCACCAAAGGTTAATAGAAAAAATAAGAGGTGGACAGAGACAACATATAGAAAAGTAATAAAAAAAGCTCAAGACTTCATAAATTGGCCCATGTGGCAAAACATTCTTCTTGTGTGCAAGTCATTTGGACCCAGCAAATCTTTTAGCCACAATTGCGGTAATACAGAATTTTTGCAATTTGGATAGAGTTCAATAAGACAGTATTTATCATGTCAATTTTTTTAATTTTGAATGTTTATTTTAAATACAAATAATACAAACATAATACATATAAATCTAAATACAAAAGGTGGGGGAAATACAAATATTACAGTGCCCCCACCCCCGAGGCCATTTTCCCTGTTATATTTCTGCTGTGACGATGAAAAGATATACAATATATTCCAACTGTGCCCCTATCCCGTCCAAAACAACATATATTCTTGCAGAAATTTCTTCCCTTTGTCTTCCACCAACACTGTTTTTTATTTTAAAAAACCCCATATTTCATTATTGTCTACAAAAAAAACAGCTTTTATTTGTTTATAATATAGCATACAAAGGAAATGTAAACATAAATAGGGAAGGGAAAAGTGAGGGAAAGAAAAGATTTTTTTAAAAGGCATTGACTTCCAACTCCCTTTGGTGCTGTAGAATAAGGCATGAATAGAGAATAGAATAGAATTCTTTATTGGCCAAGTGTGGTTGGACACACAAGGAATTTGTCTTTGGTGCGTTAACCGTAACTTTATACTTTTACATAGTAGTCTAAACTAGACATTTCTGTAACAACAATTCTCTCTAATTGGTAAAACCCCAAACCAAAGTTTTGCCATGCCTCTTTTAAGACCAGTAGACTTCGACTCCCAGAATTCCCCAGCCAGCACCCCCTCCCTCCCACCCCAAATGTTATGATTTAGGACAGGGGTCTCCAACCGTGGCAACTTTAAGACTTGGGAGTTAAATCATTTAAAACTTCCCCAGAAGTTGTTGAGTGATCTCCTAACACAGAGGTCTTCAAACTTGGCAACTTTAAGATTTGTGGACTTCACCTCCCAGAATTCCCAATGCTGGAATTCAATTCTTTCGATACTGGAATTTTTCCTTCTCTTCACTAGACTAGAAGTATACCCAGTTCCTGCAACTGTTCAATTCTCCTGGGGAAACTATATAGGAGCACCACTCCGGCTGCAATTTAAGCCAGGCATCTCCAAACTTGGCAACTTTCAGACTTGTGGACTTCAACTCCCAGAATTCCCCAGCCACTCCCAGAATTTTGGGAGTTGAAGTCCACAAGTCTTAAAAGCTGCCAAGGTTGGAAACCCCTGATTTAGAATCCATTTGGATTTCACCAGCTGCTGCCCTAATGCTATCAGTGCTTCGTAGTCCTGCTTTTCTTTCAGCACGAGAGGAGTCTTTTATACCCCTTTTTATTTCCCTCTCTCCAGCATGGCTGCCAACGCTCATGCGGGTGACTTGTCCTCTGCACGAAGTTCCCAGGAGATCTCGGTGGCTCCAGTGACCCCTCCAGCACCTCTCCCCGGTCCGTTCCCTGCCGAAAACCCCCCGGTAGATCAAAACGCTCAAGCCCCTCAAGCCAACCCCGGAGTGAACCCAAACCTGCGCATGAATGCCCAGGGAGGACCCCTCATGGAGGAAGACGAAGAAGTCAACCGCGATTGGCTGGACTGGCTCTATTCGGCAACCCTCTTCTACGTCTTTGTCAACATCGTTTACTTTTACTCCAGTATGAGCAGGTTCCTCATGGTGATGGCCGGCACCCTCCTCATGTACCTGTGAGTCTGCTTGGGTGGCTGGGCAGGAAAGGCGCGGGGGGAGGGGTGATGGTCCCTGCACATGGTTTGACTGTCATAGAGGTACTGTATTTTTCAGAGTATAAGGCGCACCTTCCCCCTCCCCCCCCCAAAAAAAAATCTGGATGCGTCTTATACAGTGAATACAGCATTTTTGGCCTCCCGAAACCCCATGCTGTTCACAAAAATGGACGTGCAAAGGGTTTGGAAGACCTGCAAAGTGCTCCTGGGAGCTTGGGGGGGGGGCAAAAACAAGTGACGGACTGTTTTTTGCTCATTTTTGGTAATGGGGCAGCCCTCAGGAGCACTCTACAAGCCTCCTAAAGGCTATGTATTCCCTTTTTGGGGCAAAAAACAGGCCTGTTTTTGCAAAAAATGCAATTTATTGCTCATTTTTGGCCCCCAGGAGCACTTTGCAGGCCTCTCAAATTCTGTGTGCCCCATTTTTTCACAAAAAAAAAAAAACAAGGCTGAAGGGGGTTTGGGAGGCCTGCAGACTGCAAAAAATATTTCTTTAACTTGCCTCTTCAAAATCTTGGTGCGCCTTATACTCCGGTGCGTCTTATAGTCCGAAAAATATGGTAGTCCTTGACTTGCAGTCATTTGTTTAGAGTTAGAGTGGCACTGGGGAAAAAAAACGACTTAACCACCACTGCCGTATTCCCTCTTGGCACCTGGTCACAATTTGGACGCTTGGCATGTACAGTCAGTCCTCGACTTACAACGGCTCGTTTAGTGACCGTTCAAAGTTGCAAGGGCCCTGAAAAAGTGACTTATGACCACTGTTCACATTTACAATCATTGCAAGCACATCCCCGTGGTCATGTGATCACAATTCAACTTACCTGATATTTGTGATGGTTTCTGTGTCCCTGCATCACTTGATCCCCTTTTACGATATTCCGACAAGCAAAAGTCAATGGGGGAAGCCAGGTTCAATTAACAACTATGTGACTAATTTAAACAACCTCATTCTGTCGTCCCCTTCTTCTTTTGTCCTCCATCGTTCCCAGCATGAGGCTCTTCTCCAGTGAGTTCTTCCTTCTCAATAGGTAGATATATAGATAATGGATAGCTGCCCAAATAAAAAAATAATAGAAGTTGATTGTCACTCGAGGGTTTTGCCTTTCTAACCAGTGTCTCCTATTCTTAGGCATCAGGTTGGCTGGTTCCCTTTCAGAAGGCCTGCCCAGCCGCCACCACCACCACCGAACAATGTTCCTGTCCAGGCTGCTGTTAATCAAGATCAGAATAACAATTTACAAGTAAGTTTCACACCAGAGAGCGCCATAAAGCTTTGGCTTCAGAATGAACCTCTGGTTCAGTGGGGCATTGCTTCCATGCTAAACCTGTCTTAAGGATTCCTTGGCTCCCTTTAAAGGGACACGATGGCTCGGGTTAAGACACTGAGCTTGTCGATCAGAAGGTTGGCGGTTCGAATCCCTAGCGCCACATAACGGAGTGATCAAAATTTGGATGTTTGACAAGTGGTTCAAATTTATGACAGTTGCCCTGTGGCTCACACCCCTTTGCAACCTTCCGACAAGCAGAGACAATGGGGAGACCAGATTCTCTTCAAAATCGTGTTGCTAGCTTAACAGCTGCAGGGGTTCCCCTTAACGGCAGCAAGAATAGGGCAGGACTCACTTAGCAACAGAAATGTTGCCCTCGACTGTGATCTTCAGTCGAGGATTAGGTGTACCCGGAAGTGCAGCATCGGAACTGGGAATCGATTGGGCTGTTTCCAGATGTGGTTTGGCCTCCAGACAGGCCTGCTTTCTCTAACTTAATAATACATTTCTGTTTATAGAACTTTTGGAATTAAGTCACTCAAAGATGTATTTAAAAATAAATCCCTGAACCATCCTTGGAACAGGAAGTGTGGCACACAGCCAAAGAGGAACAGAACAAATTGTTACCTTATTGTCTTGGACAGTGATGGGGAACCTTTTTCGGGTGCCAAAAGCATGTGTGCGCCATAATTTAATTCCTCCCCCCCCCCCCGTGCAGTACCCCCTGCGCATGTAGGCGTGACACACACACACAACTGCCCTGCACATGCGCACACGGCTTTCTTGGAGCCCAGGGAGGGCGAAAACTGCCTCCCTTACCACCTGGAGGCTGGAAACGGCCTGTTTTCCAACTTCCAGGTTGTCTGTTGGGCCGTTTTCTCCCCCCCTCCGGAGGCTTCAGGAGGGTAAAAAAAGGCAATGTCTCACGTGCCCACGGAAATGGGTCCGCCTGCCACCTGTGGCACACATGCCCTAGGCTCATCACGGGTGTCTCCATCAATAACCAAGAAAGGAAACTCCCGACTCCATTGTTCATGGAATTAAAGATACTTTTACTGGTTATGAAAACATAGCAGCGAAAGAAAAGCAAGATCTGAGCCCAAAAGGCTCGAACAAGCACATATCAAATGATTGCCCAGCCCCCTCCCTCCAGTTGCCCCAGCCCAGGGTCCAATCCACAACTCCTTAAGGTGTCATGTGGGGTGCATCTTCAAAAGGCCTCATGAGATGGTTGGCCTTCACCAAGTCCAAACATCGGCCGTGATGAGAACAAACCTCCCTTCTACATAACTCCAGTGCCATGCGATTCCCTTCCCATATACCGTGCCCCCACCCTCCCCCGTTTCTATGGCAGCCAGTAGCAAGCCAGCGAAGCAGAGGCTGACAACGGCTCTAGAGTGTTCAGTCCCTGGATTGTGGCAGGTGCCTGTCCCGTATCAACTGCCGCTTGATATCCTTGCGCCACTTGTACGATAAACCCTAACAAGAGGCAGCTGGCCCATCCTTCGCCAGTGACAGTGCTGTAACTCTACTGGGGGTATTTTAGACATTTTATTTAGCAAACAGGTTTATATATTCATTAGGTTTTTATCCCAAAGATGTTTTTTTTTTCCAAGAGGCAACTGGACTTCCTTGTTTTTCTTTGAAGACGTTTCCCTTCTCCTCCAAGAAGCTTCTTCAACTCTCAGCCTCTTGGGTGAGAAGCGAAACCAGAAAGAAGAGAAAACCAGGAAGTCCACAGTCACCTCTTGAAAAAAGCACCTTTTGGGACAACCATGACCTGGATGACTGAGAATCTCTACGGGAATTCTTATCCCACCTTTCTTACCTCATAAGTAACTTGAGGTAGCAAACCTATCTGCTGCTACTTCCGTCTCCTCTTTTCCTCAACAACAACCCTGTGAGGTGGCTTGAGCTGAGAGAGACTGACTGGCCCATGGTCAGCGGACACTCATGGCTAAAGCCAAGAACTAGAACTCAGTTTCCTGGTGACTGAGCCAGCACCTTAACAACTAATTGAAAACTGGTTGGGTAGCATCTCCTTTTATTCTAGATCCTAGTGAGAGTTCGTTATTTAAACCACCCAGTTGGAGCAGCCCTGTGGCAGCGAGTTCTTTTGGCCTTGAATATCTGCAGTATGAAGAAAACAGTGCCAGGAAAAACTTACCTTGCGCACCCTCTGAATCCTGCCAATGTAATATTCCAGGATTTAATAACACTGGATGAGAATAATGTAATTAATGTCCAGAATATCCTTAAAAGATAAGATCATAGGTAGTCCTTAACTTATAACCATTTAGTGACCATTTGAAGCTATACTATATTGCCAAAAGTATTCGCTCACCCATCCACATAATCAGAAGCAGTTGTGAGCGAAAACTTTTGGCAATTGTATATCTGCACTTTTTCACACAGGCCTCCCCATGGTCACCGAATCAAAATTCAGATGCTTGGCAACTGGATCATATTTATGACGGTCCCAAGGTCATAGGATCACTTTTTGCAACTTTCTGACAAGCAAAATCAACTGACTTACTGAGTTAACACTTGCAGTGATTTGCTTAGCAACTGTAGCAAAAAAGGTCATAAGAGTGGAGCAAAACTCACTAGCAATGGATTTTTTGTTTTTCAGGGTTTCTTTTATTTTCAAACATACAAAATACACAAAACCAAAACTTAGACAAACTACATTTACACAGTACATTAGAACTTCATGCTGCTTCTTATAGCAGTTATTAGTACCCTATGATTGTCTTTAAGTGTTGTACCTTATGATTCTTGATGAATTATTTTATTTTTCTTTATGTACACTGAGAGGATATGCATCAAAGACAAATTCCTTGGGTGTCCAATCGGTACAATTCTCCTTAAGTTATTTCCCCTTCTAATATATTTCCTTTGAGTTTCACCATTTTTAACCCTCTTAATTTACTTATCTATCTGATATATTGGGTGATTACCTCTAAGAAGTCTAAACTCTCTTGCGTGCATATACACAAGGCGCTCCTCCTTAACTTCTACTTTTGAGCTTTATTGGCTTCTTTCATTGACCCTTGTTTCTTTCCTCCAATACCAATGGACTTATACCATTTTTCCCATGTCCGATATTATTCTGTCTCTTTTCCCCTGAATTTCTTTTGTTAATTTCTCCGCAATGAACATTTTGAACTCTGCTCTGGTTGTAAGGCACAACCTATGTTCAGGAAATTTGCGATGCTGTAAACACAGGGGGCTTGCAAGGAATTTGCCTAAAGTCAGTGTCAGTGTTCCAAGTATCATGTAGAATTAAATCAGAGTCTAAGGCAAAACAATCCTTAAAATTCCAATTTAATAAGTCAGACATTTTAGCACATCTGTGGAATTCCAATTCTGGTTCTTGCGGGCTACAATCGGATTCCCACCCAGTTGAAAGTTCATGATCTTGTCCCCACACCCACAAATCCATCACATTGTCCAATCTTCTTCTTCCACGCTGGCATCTCCACCCAGCTGGTTCCGGTCAGGTGCAGAGGTGTGGAGACAAAAGATGATCTTGGGCTTCTAAAAAAGAATGACAACAACACATTCCACAATTCTACTCCTTTCTATTCCCCCCTCCCAACTATTACACTAATGAAACAGTATAGTGAAATAATAGAAAGTGTGGCAGGCCAAAGATCCTAAAAGGGATATAGCTGCAGGCCTGACAGTCAACCAAAAGTAGCAGAAAAAGGTTCAACTTCAGCCCAGTTAAACCATATCAATAAGTTGGGAGTTTTTGAGGCCCGGCGCATGTGCGGAAGGCACATGCGAGAGCAAAGTGCATGCACAGAAGTTGCACATGTGCCCCACGGCAAACTGGTGGTAACGAAATGTGCAACCCACCACTGGTTGGAGATCACTGGAGGAAAGATCTCTGTGTAATTTACACTTTCTTTTGTCCCCCTTATCTCAGCAGGAGGAAAACCCAGGAGAACAAAATGAGACGGAGAATTTGGAGGCCGCCCGCGAGAACCAGCCAGCCCCAGCTGTTTCCTTTATGAGCACAGCATGGCTTTTCTTCAAGACTTTCTTCGCCTCCCTCCTGCCAGAGGGGCCTCCAGCTGTGGCCAACTAACTGGGCACATAAACTTCTTCCTCTTTCTCTTCTCCGGACACTGGCTTGAATGTCCCCTACGTGGGCGAGGATGGTTGGATCAAAGGGGGGGGGTGGGTGCGAATGTAGACTTTGGACGTGAAAGACAGACGTGGCTGGGCGTGCAATGAGATGCTCGCTCAGAGCTTCAAGGAAGAGAATAGACCACCGAAGAAGCCACAGCTTTAGAGAGCTGTGAAGCTTTGTTACCTCAGCTGTTTTGGGAGCCAAGAGAGGCAGAGTCCTTCTGCCGGGACCAACTTGATTCCAGTTGGAGTGGATCTCCCGCTTGCCTACGCGGAGTGTGCAATCTTGTGCAACCAGAATATTTAGAGAGAGAGAAAAAAACTGCACAGAGGAAGTTATGAAGAAGAGCCGTTTCTTAATTCCTGACAACGCGTGTAAAAAGATAAGGTGTAAATAGCTTTTTTCACAGAAGGTAAAAGTTGAGCCTATTGATACTACACAGGTGGGCAACCGAAGTCCCCTTTACGACATGCGGACTTCCAACTCCCAGAATTCCTGAGCCAGCCATGCTACCTCAGGAATTCTGGGAGTCGAAGTCCGCAGGTGATAAAAGGGCCCATAGTTGCCCGGCCATTGCTACACAGTGTAGCAGAAAGTATTTTCCTAGGTTTCAAGCACGAGGTTTTTTCCCTCCCTACTTTGCCAATTTACCAAGCTAACCCAAGTTCCGGACGTGTGTCTTCGGATAGATCAAATTGCAAATATGACTTCTTTCCAGCAGCTTCCTATTTTGCAGCAATCTACTGAACCTTATAAGTTCTTTTTGTCATTACATTTCAAAGTTAAGAGAGAGAAATGGGAGTTGTGCAAAAGAAGACTTGTTCCCTCCCCTCTCTCCCCTTCCTCTCCCCTCGTCTCCTTTCCTCCCTTCCCTCCCTTCCCATCACGCAGATTTTTCACCCAAGTCCCTGCAGGTTAGCCATACATAATTGTGAATGAATACTGCTATTGGGAATACATTAAAAAAAATTGGCCTGAATCTGAAGTCCGGAGCCTAACTGGAGGCTCTGACACTAGGAAAAGATAGGAGGGATATTTTGTGTGTGACCTTTGCTCCCAAGTTACAGTCCGAATCCCCCAGGGATGGGTTAGAGTTGAGTAAGAGGGTTGCTCAAAATTACTGTTGATTTTGCAAATAGAAGTTTGAATCCAGGCTGTGCGATTTTGAGCATTTTTGGATCAAAAGATTGTGTGGGCCTCTCCCAGCCATGTTGGGAGTGGCAGTACAATATCGGAATCATAGTGGGAGTTGCCGGTACACAATTGCTGTGATGATGTGATCTCTATCACTCATGACTGATGCACATTAAGTGTGGTGGTGATGGTCTCCTCCCACTCCTAGATGCCCAGGGTCTCCTAGGAGGGGGAAAATATTCTTTTAACACCTGCATTTAACTTGGACATTTTAATACAAGCAAAAGAACATTCTGATTAATTGGTCTGCTTACAATGCTCAGATTAACACCCCACCCCCCTTTCCACTTCAGATACTTTGCCTGGAACTCCCTATAGAATTGCATGATTTTTTCCAAAGTCATTCTTTTCCACTCAGGGATTATTTTGCATATAAAAACATTTTTTCCCATTTCTGTGTTTGGCTTTCAGGATGATGCTGAAATGGTGTGTTTTCGCTATTGTGGATTGTAACTTGGATGATTTCTCTTTCACTTATCTACTCTTAACGTTTCATAAGGACAGTCACACGATGGCTGGGCTTTTTTTTCTTTACATTATTAAACAAAGTTTAATATATTACAGCTTTAATTTTATTAAACCAAGATTGTTTGCAAGCTTTTGGGAGTTTTTGCATTGAGAAGACTCAAAGTTTTAAATTTCAGATGAAAGGGAAATAGTTGCCATGTCAGGAAGCAGTGCTCTCATGTATCAGCATCTCCTCTAATCTTACACAACGCCACATGCCAGGGGTATCCATCTCAAGGCCCTGGGAGGGGGGTGTCCAGCCTGCAGGGTACTTAGATGTGGCCCATTAGGCCACCCTGGAAACGGCAAAGGACCAGCCCGCAGTGCCTCTGCTAGTGAAAACTGAGCTCAGGAGGGCTGTATATAGCCCTCCCAAACTCCATTTTGCTGGTATAGGGTTGCAGGAGTCCATCGCAGCTGAAAACTGCTCACAAAGAGCAACTGGAGAAACTCCCGAGCGCCGTTTTCGCTGGCAAAAAGTTATAGGAGGCTGCTGCAGCCAAAACAGAGCTCGGGAGTATGTTTTTGCTGGAAGAGTGCTCGAGCCATCGCAGGCACCCTGACACAAGTGATGTTGAGCTGGTCACATCCCCCTGCCCCCCCACTCCCAAGGTCAAACAACTGATGTGTCTCTCAATGAAATTGAGTTTGACACCTCTGTGATAGGCAGTCTTGGAAAACAAGGCCTCGCCTCTCTTGCTCTGCTTTTGGGGCAGGCGGTTTGGCGGCCCAGACACAGGGGGAGAGGTTGCAAATAGCTACGGCCCACAGGTTGGGGGAACCCCCCCCCCCTAGTGGCATGTTAAAAAGGTAAAGGAACCCCTATGGATTTTACTTGGCTAGTCATTGCCGGCTTCATGGGACGGTGCTCATCTCTGTTTCAAGACTATTGAGCCAGTGCTATCTGAAGATACTTCTGTGGTCATGTGCCCAGCATGATGTCACAGAGCGCTGAAGTGGTACCTATTTATCTACTTGCATTTCCATGTTTTCAAGCTGCTAGGTTGGCAAGGAGCTGGAGCGAGGATAGGAGCTCACCCCATCACATGGCCCTCTGGTCTTGAGCAGGCTGCTGGCTTTCCAGCATCTTAACCGCTGAGCTGCCCCTCCAGCGGCAGGACTGAAGCACTAATTCCAACTTAGGAGGGTAGAGTAATGATTGAAGCTGGCACGGAAGTAGCAAATCTCACGCCAAAAAGAGATGTTTTGCAAACAAGACACCGTTGGCTGAAGCCAAGCGTGGCCTTTGAGTGCAAGGCAGGAAATCCTGAATGGTGGTGATGTAGATTTGGCACTAACACATAAAAAGCTGGATCTTGGGTGTTTTCATGTGGAGAACCTCTTCTGACCACGGCTTCCAAATTCTGTTCGATAAATTTACGTGGCTAATCTTGAGCCTTCTTGGAGAGCATAAGAATGGCCATGTATAGAGAGAAGAGCAATGCAATCTGGGTCAACCCATGTTTAGTAAAAGTTGGGTCAAAGAGACACCTGTTGTGGCACACCAGCAGAGCTGGCAGAAGATTCAGACAGTGAGGTGGTTGGGGAGGAACATGGGCCAGGAGTCCTGGAGTCTGGGGAAGGCTCTGATGAGGGCTCTGTGTCGGAGGCAGAGTGGGGGGCAGAGCCATCCCAACAATTATCAGCTGCCTTCAGAGTCCGATATCAGTGAGGCAGAAGAACAGCTGGAGCCTGTTCCCAGTGTGCACATGTGCAGAGTTGTCAGATGAAGGGAACAGCTAAAGAACGGGTCGACTTGGGAGTAAGGCCACAGGTGGGTGAGGAAATAAAAGAGGAGTGAAAGGGGAGTGGAGTTTGCAGGAGACAATTAGTTCACTTAATTGGTTGGTGACTCCAAGACTCCTTGCCACGTTTTGCAGATATCATCGGCCTGGCAGATCTCCAAGCTGGATAAGGGAGTTGAAGTCCACCTGTTTTCCTGTGTGGACCAGGGTTGGAAATGACTAAATTGCTTGCCGTTAATGCTTGGGGATTCACAGAGAGTGATCAATGTGAATAAATAAAAATAATTATTCTGAGGCCCATCGATCAGAAATCCAAGCATGTTGGAAATCCAAAGAGATACCAAATCTATCATTTTCCAACAGCCAAAAGTGCTTGAAGCTCTTATGGAGACAGAATGCAATGGGGAAAAATTATCTGGATTTCACACAAAGGCAGATGGGATCATAGCTAAATCTATATATAAAAATGGCTCTGTGTGTTCCAGCATAAATCTCTGGAACACTTCAAGCAATTTCCACCAAATTTGGTACACAAATGACTTGTGTCCTGGAAACAAATACTGCGGAGGTAAGACACCCCTAAAACCCCTTGGGGAGGGGTGTTCTGTTAAGATACAGCCTGTTGTGCCCTAAAATGGCTGCTTCTACTGTACAGTGCAGTGGAGTTGCCATGGTAACAGCTGCACAGTGCTCCACAAGGGGGCGCCCTCTGGTAATTTCCAACATTTGAAATTAACATTTGGTCCGGGATTGTTTTTGAGGTCAAATTTATGGATTAGGATAAATAAATACCCCGGGCAATGCCAGGTTATCAGCTGGTAAGACATAAAAAGCTCAACCCAAATTTCTACCATTATTCGTTTGATCCAAGTTGGGTTTTTTATTTTATTTTAAAGTGAACTATAAAATGTCAGAAGGCAGCAGAATTATTTTTCTTGTCTGCTTGGGCTAGTTTCTAAAAATTCCCTAGAGCAGGGGGGGGGGGGTCTCCAAATGTGGCCCCTTTAAGACTTGTGGACTTCAATTTCCAGAATTCCCCAGTCAGCCATGACATTGATGTATAATGCCAATTTGATTTTTTTTTAAAGAGACACAATTGATCCAGCAAATTGTTCTATCTTTAGTATAAGGAGCAGATTGTCCATGCTGGCTGGGAAATTCTGAGAGTCCACAAGTCCACAAGTGGCCATCTTTGAAGAGGCCATCTCTAAAGCCTTTTTTTTCCTTCATTTTTTAGCAAGAACACAAGATCCAGGTGCAAATTACACCATCATTTGTGTGATTAGTTCATAGCTTACAGCATGTGGCATCATCTGTCCCTTTGAACGACAATTTTTTTAAAAATTTCTATAAATGCTATTATAGAGCCGAGATGGTGCAGTGGTTAGAGTGCAGTACTGCAGGCTACTTCAGCTGACTGCTAGCTACAGTTTGGCAGATCAAATCTCAGCAGGCTCAAGGTTGACTCAGCCTTCCATCCTTCCGAGGTGGGTAAAATGAGGACCCAGATTGTTGGGGGCAAGAGACTGACTCTGTAAACTGCTTAGAGAGGCTGTAAAGCACTGTAAAGTGGTATATAAGCCTAAGTGCTATTACTATTGCCATCCATCTATCCATCCATCCATCCATCCATCCATGGTGTGCAGTAGTTAGAATGCAGTATTGCAGTCTGACTCTTGACTGCCAGCAGTTCGATCCTGACTGGCTCAAGGTTGACTCAGCCTGCCATCCTTCCAAGGTGGATAAAATGAGGACCCAATTTGTTGGGGGCAAGAGGCTGACTCTGTAAACTGCTTAGAGAGGGCTGTAAAGCACTGTGAAGTGGTATATAAGTCTTAAGTGCTATTGCTATTATCCCCGAGCTAGGCTAAGTTAGTGGCAGTATCAACATGTTCTTGGCTAACCCAAGACTTAATATTTATATTTAGAATTCTCAACTAGTGTTTTGACAACTGGTATGTCCTGAATCATAAGTAAATTTTTTCTTTCCTTCTTCCTCTTTCTCCCTCTGCAGAATTATGAGAAAGCAGCTGTTCTAAAAACATGCAGTTCCTTTGTTGACCATATTGCATCTATTTTGGGTTTGCAGCTGCTAAAAATATTTTTGCATCCATTTCCGGGTCTGAATTCCATTCGCCAGCCACCAGGTGGCAGGCCCAGCCATCAAAACAATTTACTTTGCCTTGTCTTCTCCCAAGACACAATTTCCATTTGTTCCCATTTGTAGTTTAGCTTCTGCAAAAGCCACAGTCTGGGTTTGAAATGTTTAAAAATAGAGAGGGAAGAACCTAGTTCCTTGTCTCCTTCTACAAATAAACCCTTAGTAAGACCACACTTGGAATATTGCATCCAGTTTTGGTCGCCACAATATAAAAAAGGTGTTGAGACTCTAGAAAAGAGTGCAGAGAAGAGCAATCAAGATGATCAGGGATTTAGGAGGCTAAAACATATGAAGAGCAGTTGCAAGAAATGGGTAAGTCTAGTTTAATGAAAAGAAGGACTTGCAGTGACATGATAGCAGTCTTCTAATATTTGAGGAGCTGCCACAAAGAAGAGGGAGTCAAACTATTCTCCAAAGCATCTGAAGGCACAAGAAGCAATCTTGGAGAGAAGCAACCTAGAATTATGTAATTTCCTGTCAGAACAATTAATTGTGGGAACACCTTACCTCCAGAAATAGGGGGGGCTCCATCATCGGTGGTTTTTCAAGAGAAAACTGGACAGCCATTTGTCCAAAATGTTATAGGCCAGGGTCTCCTTCTTGAGCAGGGGGTTGGACTAGAAGACCTCCAAGGTCCCTTCCAACCTTGCTATTCCATGTTCTGTGTTCACAGGCGTCGATTCCTAACCATGATGACACCAAAATCATAAAACCGGCTTTGTGATGTCATCATGCAAACTCATTTATATATAAGGAGCACAATTTGCATCGCAATGCAAATTGACCTCCGTTTATACGGAGAAGAAGAACACCCGGGGTGTGGGGTGTGGATTTCCACTGGACTTCTGTGAAAACACTTCTGCTCAATTTCTCTACTCCTGAAATTGGTCGATTGTTTTCTTTAAAGCTTTTTAAAATAAACGAGAGTTCAATTCTTATCTATTGCTTGGTGTATTGGAAAAACGCGCCCGAGATTAATTGGAAAAAATTATTCATGGCTTGAAATTGAATTGTCAAGTCCTTGTTATGTTGTGTTACAGGTGTCTCATTACCCAACCAGGTAACACCATCTATGTGGTGCTGGGCTAGCACTGATGATGTTACATAGTTGGGTAATGAAATGTCTGCAAGAAAACAATGAACCTCAGAGAGCATCAAGGTCCCCTCATTTCAACCCTGAGCTACTACTCTCTTTTATTGGTACCTTCTGATCTTACGTTACCCCATCTTTTTAGTTGGAGATGCTAGGTATTGAACTGATAAACTTTTGGAGGGAAAACATCTGGATCTTCAATGTTGAATGATACTGCAAATGATTGACTAGCAAGGGTCTGGGGCTGAGAAACATTGATGTAGCTCAGCTTATGGGTGTGATAAAGTGAGCTGCAACTCACAAAAAGTTATGGTTTAATAAAATCTGTCAGATGGAAAATGGTGCTAGCAGATTCCTCCTGATTTACTCATCACTCGGAGCCCTGGTGGTGCCATGGTTAGAATGCAGCATTATAGGCAAACTCTGTCCTCTGCCAGCAGTTTGATCCTGACTGGCTCAAGGTTGATTCAGCCCTCCATCTTTCCAAGGTCACAAAAACGAGGACCCTGATTGTTGGGGGCAAAATGCTGACTCTGTAAAGCATTATGGAGCAGTATATACCATATTTTTCGGAGTATAATATGCACCGTCCCCTCCCCACTAAAAGAGAGTGGAAATGTTGGTGCGTCTTATACACCGAATATATACTTTTTTTGCTTCCTGAAACCCCACCCCCATGTTCCATTTTTGCAAAAAATGGGATGTGGGGGCAGGGCTTTGCAAAAATGGAGGCATATTTGCCTTCCCCCAGACCCCAGAAGCACTCTGCAGGCTTCAGCAGGACTGGGGGAAGGCAAAAATGTCCCCGTTTTTGCAAAATCGCCCGTTTTCTGCAAAAACGGGGGCATTTTTGCCTTCCCCCAGCCCTGCTGAAGCCCGCAGAATGTTTCTGGGGGCCATGGAGGACCATAACATTTTTTTCTTACCTCTTCAAAATCTTGGTGCGTCTTATACACCAGTGCGTCTTATAGTCTGAAAAATATGGTAAGTCTTAAGTACTGTTGAATGCGATATCGGTCCACCATAGAAAGTGTACTCACATACTGCATACAGTATGGTATGTTGGTTTAACAGCTGCAGACAGGAAGGCCCTACAGAGAGTGATAAATTTGGCACAAGAAACCATAGGTTGCCTTCTTAACCACCACTGGATGACATCGCCAGGTCTCACTGCGTTAGCAGAGTAAGGAAGATACTCAAGAGATGCTTCACACTCTGGTCAGTGTCTCTTCGCACTTCTAGCATCAGGCAGAAGACATAGAAGCATTGCCAGCTGAACAAATAGGTTTAAAAATAGTTTCTATCCTTCGGCTGTCAGACTCTTAAACACAACAACCACAATCACTCCACACACAGGGAGAAACGTATGACTAGTTTTTCTTTCTTTTTTTCCTAATTACTTGCATGGGGATTATTCTTTATACTATTTATGTTGTTTGCGTTTTTTGTCATGGATTGTACCAGTGAGGCTAAAGCCAATTTCATTGTACACATGATGTACAATGACAATAAAGGCTATAGGACAGTGTTTCTCAACCTTGGCAACTTGAAGATGTCTGGACTTCAAGTCCCAGAATTCCCCAGCCAGCAAATATCAAAGAGAGATCCGACCTATAATTAAGGAGAAAATTAATCAGCGGAAGGACTTGCCTCCAGAAAATGTGAGTGATTCATTACTGGAGGTTTTTCAAAAATAGACTGGAGAACCGTTGAACCTGGATGGTATAAGGCAGGGGTGGAATTCAGACAGGTTCTGGAGAACTGGTAGGGAAAATTTTGAGTAGTTCGGAGAACCAGCAAATGCCACCTCTGGCTGACCCCAAAGTGGGGTGTGCATGGGGATTTTGCAATATCTTTCCCCTGCCCTGCCATGCTCACCAAGCACCAAAACTGGTAGTAAAATATTTTGAATTTCACCACTGGTATAAGCTCTTCTGTCTTGAGCAGAGGGTTGAGCTAGAGCAGTGTTTCTCAACCTTGGCAACTTGAAGATGTCCGGACTTCAACTCCTAGAATTCCCCAGCCAGCATTCGCTGGCTGGGGAATTCTGGGNCTGATCTTAAGCATAGGCTAACTGGAATTTCTTGGTCCCATATTTATTTTGTATATAGTCAATCCATTTTTTCCAGTCTCGTTTATATCTCTCATTTGAGTGATCTTTAAGATATGCCGATATTTCTCTTGCTTTGTTTTGTGTATGTTGTTTTGTTTAAAAAGAATAAAAAAAAATATATTTTTAAAAAACATTCTTGACGGCAACTTAGGCTAAATGCCACTTTGCTTGTTCCAGTAACAAACACAGTTGCAAAATTACTCAACCTCAAACCCACATCTTGTTACTTCTTACATAGGAAGCTTTTGCAATCAGCACCCTCACCTTTTGAGAGCAGATCTTAAAGAGGATAGGGCTGACTGCCAATTTCAGCAAAAGCACACAGAGTAACAGATGTTACCTAGTTTGGTAATGAAATGTCTGCAAGAAAACCACCAATCACAGAGAGCACCAAGGATGCCTCATTTCAATCCTGAACTACAAATATTCTCCTTTATTGGTAAGATGGAGTAGCTCTGTCGAAGCTAATTCATGGCCCCTAATACCGGAAGTCCTCGACTTACAACTGCAATTGAGCCCAAAATACTATGTTGTTAAGTGAGACATTTGTTAAGTGATAGGCCCCGTTTTACTACCTATTATTTGCCCCTGTTGTTAAGTGAATCACTGCACTCGTTAAACTAGAAACACAGTTGGGTCTAGGATGGTTGAATCACACCAGGTCCTGTAGCTCCTCAACTTACAATCACAAATGGAGTCCAACATTTCCATTGCTAGTTGTTAAGTGAATTTTGCCCCATTTTAAGACCTTTCTTGACACCATTGTTAAGTGAATCATGGTGGAATTAAGTTAGTAAAATGGTTGTTAAGTGAATCTATTGACATTGTCAGAAAGTCGCAAAACTTGATCATAGAATCCCAGGACAGTGTGACCGCCATAAATATGAATCAGTTGTCAAGTGTCTGATTTTTGATCACGTCATCCTGCCACACTTATGACCATACTTCAATGGTCATAAGTGTGAAAAACAATCATGAGTCACTTTTTAAAAAGTTCTGTTGTAACAGAAGATCTTAGAATGTGCAGAGATGGATAAATTGACCAAGGAAGCAGACTACTATTTAGTTTGGGAAAAATAGTACAAGTGGTTAGATGATAGAAATAGGAAATAAGAATTTGGGAAAGTCAATTTGTATGATAGAAGAGAATGTAGGATGTACAAAAGTAGAAAAAGATATACGTATATTAGAAGAAGAATAACGACGACTGTCTGATACGAATGACCAAACAGAGACTGTTAAGTAAAAGAGTAAGAAACAAAAGGATCTTTAAAATTACATCATTAAAATGTAAAATTAGAATGTATTGAGAGGGAAATAATATTTGTAAAGATACACTGAGAGATTATCTGCTGTAAGAAGGAATGTGAGATTCCAACGTTGTCTGTAAGTATTGTGTATGTTTTTGTCAATGTGTGTAAGTCTTTAACATATTTTTTAAAAAAACATTCTGTTGTAACTTTGAATGGTCACTAAATGAACTGCTGTAGCAAGTTAATAGGGCAAGTCCTCAGGCTCTCATCCCTTCCATATTCTGCATTCCATGATTTGGGAATTTTGCTGCCTTAAATGACCCTCTTTGCTCCCTTAATGTCCTTTTCTCTGTGATTTTTAATCTTACGTAAGTGTTGAGTTCCTCTTGGTTGCCATTCGCCCTCCTGGCTCAAAGTCAGCCTCTCCAAATGGGTGCTCTGCAGAGACAGTGGGAACGCAGCTGCTCACATTCCCTCACCAGCCCAGAGGTGCCTCACCTCAACATCTGGAGAGCATCAGTCTCGGGGTAGGCAGTTTTGCACTGCAATTTGAAAGGACCAAGTTGCTGGAACAGTGGGATTGAAAAGTCCTTCCTTTGATCTTGCAGGAGATGGCCTTCAACAAGATGACCTTCTGGAAGTAACCAAAGGGGGCTGGGAGCTCCCCCCCCACAATGTACAGAAAATATGAAGCCCATCCCTTGACATTTCTGGAGGGTGCAGTGACAACACTGCTGAAGACAGAAGAATTTGCAGAATGACGGTAGGAAGGGACAGCTGGCTGGGAGATGGGTCTGTGAAAAGTATCAGATGGATAGCAATAGCTCTTAGACTTATATACTGCATCGCAATGCTTTTGCAGACCTCTCTAAGGGGTTTACAGAGTCAGCCTATTTGCCTCCAACTATCTGAGTCCTCATTTTACCCACCTCGGAAGGACGGAAGGCTGAGTCAACCTTGATCCGGTCAGGATCGAACTCCTGGTAGTAGGCAGAGTTAGCGTACAACACTGCCTTCTAGCTACTGTGGATGGATGGATGGATTAAAGGAAGGAAGGGGAATAGCAATAGCACTTAGACTTATATACTGCTTTGCAGCCGCCTCTAAACAGTTTACAGAGTCAGCCTATTTGCCCCCAACAATCTGGGTCCTCATTTTACCCACCTTGGAAGGACGGAAAGCTGAGTCGACCTTGAGCCTGCTGAGATTCAAACTTTTGGCAGTGGGTAGAGTGAGCCTGCAATACTGCAGTCTAATCATTGCACAGAAGGAGGGAGGGAGGGAAGGAAGGAAGGAAGGGCAATAGCAATAGCACTTAGACTTATATACCGCTTCACAGTGCTTTCCAGCCCTCTCTAAGCAGTTTATAGAATCAGCCCATTGTCCCACAACAATCTGGCTCCTCATTTTACCCACCTGAGAAGGACGGAAGGCTGAGTCAACCTTGACCCTGGTGAGTTTTGAACTGCCCAATTGCAGCTAGCAGTCAGCTGGAGTAGCCTGCAGTACTGAACTCTAACCACTGCGCCACCTCAGCTCTATACAGTTGCAGTTGGTAACTTACAACCACAATTGGGTCAAGATATTCAGGGGCTAAGCAAGGTGGTTGTAAGTAAGTAAGTGTCCAATTTTACAACCTCTTTGCCATTGGTTGTTCTGCAAATGACTTGCCATTGTTAAGAGACTCATGTAAATCATGAAGGAAATCTATCTTCTTTCCTTGACTTTGCTTGTTGGAAGTCAGGTGGTAAGGTAGCAAATGGGGATCACATGACACTTGGGACACTTCAACCGTCATAAATACATGTTGGGTTCTTCTTCTTCTTGTGCCAAATCCATCATCGGACATTGGCAATGATGTTGGCGATCGTATTTTAATCAACAGCCCCACGAAAAAGTGCTGCTGAGTTTTGTCCAAGCCTGTCCCTTAGAAGCCATGATGTTCTTCTTCTGCCTGGAGCTTCTTTGCCTTCAATCTTTCCCTGGAGGATTAAGTGGAGGAGGCCGTATTTTTCCTGGAGTCACATCCCATGTCCAAAATATTCTTTCACTTTTTAATGGCTTTGATGATTTCCCTTGGCTTTCCCAGGTGGTGTCAGCATTCCAAATATCATCCAGAATTAAATCAGAATCCAAGGCAGAGCTTTCCTCAAAGTTCCAATTTAATAAGAGAGACATGTTGGTAAAATCTTCCTGGGTTTTCCACCCAGTTGAAAGTTCATGATCTTGTCCCCACACCCACAAATCCATCACATGGTCCAATCTTCCTCTGCCCTGCTGGCATTTCCACCCATCCAGTTCCGGTCAGGTGCAGAGGTGCAGAGACAAATGATGACCTTGGGCTTCTAGAAAGGAATGCTCTGTGTGACAATCAGCTGTGCCACATGATTAATATTTGCTAGAAATCACACGGCAGAACTGATTGTCGCACAGCTGATCATTGGAACTTTTTAAAAAACTTTTCAAAGCATTTTTTTTAGTACTGATTCACTTGAACCGATAGTAAAAAAAAAATGCTAAAAAAAGTAAAAAGATAGTTCCGACAATCAGCCTTGCTGCATGATTTATATTAGCTAGAAAGCAGGAAATCCTGCTTTCTAGCCAATCGAAATCACGCAGCACAGCTATTCTCCCCCTCACTGTTCTACTTACCTTTGCAGACTCAGAAAAGGCTTCTTAGAAAAGGTTAATCCAGAGCTGTATTTTTCAGCACTAAAGTGAAGATCGGAGGGTGTGGGGACTTCCTGTAGTCTTCTCCTGTTGCTGTGTCTTTCAGATGGATGGTGCACAACGCCAAAGTATCATCAGACGTATTTGGCCACAGCTGATAGACTTCCTGAGCGACCGTTCTGAGTGGGTGCTGGACAAAGCTGAGAGGCTTCTGTCTCAAGGCGAACTGAGATTGGTTCACACGGAGCCTGACCTCAAGAAGAAGCGTTTACTGGTCCTGGATATGGTCTTAAGAGATGTGGACGCCAATCCTGAGGTCTTCAGAACCTTCATCCAGAGCGTCTGTATGGAATGCAGTCCTCCCTTCGAGTTGGAGATCACCCTGCTAAGCATCTCTGAAGAAGGTGAAGGAAGGTTCAATCACGCCAAGTCCTGTAGCTCTAGGGTTAGATACAGGTAGTCCTCACAACCACAATGGAGTCCAACATTTCTGTTGCTAAGTAAGACAGTTGTTAAGTGGGCTTCGCCCTATGTGGTAACCTGCCTTGCGGTCATTAAGTTAGTAACAGTGAAGCTGGCTTCCCTGTTGACTTTGTTGGATGCAATCGGGGTAGGTCACAGATGGCGATCACATGACCTTGGGATGCTGCAACTGTTGTAAATACTTGTACACATTGGTTGCCAAGCACCTGAATTTGGATCACATGACGATGGGGATGCTCTAATGGTTGTAAGTGGGAGGACCGGATCATCAAATGGTCACTAAATGACCAATTGTAAGTCAAGGACTACCTGTATGGCATTGCCTATGTAACAGCTCCAAGTTGACCCTTATTTTCTGACCCAGCTCCCCAAATACGACCAACCCGCTGAAGTGAACTCAAAGATTCCTTTGTTGGGAGCACTAGCAGCCCCGGTAAAACGTTTCTATCTCACCGCAGGCTAATAGGTCCTCCCAGCCGGAAGATGAATAGTTGTCTGCCACATCTATTAATCTTCGTCCCCTGCCTTTTATCCCCAGAGCTCAGATGGGACTTCACCAGTAGCGGTGGCTCTTCCGTCCCAAGGACCAGCCCATAGATTTCCACTGTTCTCCTCTCCTCTGCCTTTTGTGCATCCACGCATCAGGCACTGGACCCAGCTGTACCTCCTCCTCCTCTCTGTCTGTCTGTCTTTCTCTCTCTCTCTCCCTCCCTCCCTCCCTCCCTCCCTCCCTCCTCCATTCCCTCCTCCCCCTCAGAGGTCCCAGGTTGCCTTAATGCTGAGCCTAACTCCCACACGTCCTCCTCCTCTGATTTGGCTGCTGGAGGGGCCAGAAGCCGACAGCCCATAACACATTAGAAAAGGTAGAAATGATCAAAAAATAGACATCATTTTCCCCCAGATGCCCTCAAGAGCGTCCCTGTTGTTTGAGAATTGTTTTATCTGGCTACATGAGCACATCTTTTGCTTTTTTGAAAACACTTAATGGGTCTCTGATTTGATACAAGATGCCCTGATTAACCTCTTGATCTTAATAATTTTAGGCAGTGCATCTGAAGGACAAGATCCCCCGAAAGGTTGCTTCCCATTAATTGGAGAAGTAAGATCATATCCCGCTCTCTCTTTCCAGTTTTATAAATAACAATACCCTATAAAGCATTAAGCTTCACGATTCTCATATTATAAAATAAACCATTGCATTCTGCAACTCTTCATTGATGACATTTTTGCAATTTCAGCAATCTTATATTCGTTAACATTTTAGAAATCAGATTTCATGTTGACATAGAGAGCACTCAAGATACGACTGCAATTGAGTCAAAAATGTATGTTGCTAAGTGAAACAGTTATTTTCCCCTCATTTTACGATTGTTCTTGCCACAGTTATTTAGCAAATCACTGCAGCAGCTGTTAGCAACACAGTTGAATCACTGTAGCTCTTAACGTAGTAATATGGTTGTTAAGTGAATCTTGCTTCCCCATTGATTTTGCTTCTCAGAAGATCACAAAAGGTGATCACATGATTCTGGGACATTGCAATGGTCATAAATATGAACTGGTTTGCCAAGTATCTGGATTTTGATCCCATGACCATGGGGATGCTGAAATGGATATGTAAAAACTGGTTATTAGTCAATTTTTTCAGGGCGATTGTGACTTTGAATGGCCACTAAATGAACTGTTGGAAGTTGAGGGTTACCTGTATGGCCAGGCAGGTCCAAAAAAAAATCAAGTTAGTGGCCATTACAATACAATACAATAGCAGAGTTGGAAGGGACCTTGGAGGTCTTCTAATCCAACCCCCTGCCTAAGCAGGAAACCCTATACCGTTTCAGACAGATGGCTATCCAACATCTTCTGAAAAACTTCCAGTGTTGGGGCATTCACAACTTCTGGAGGCAAGGAGTTCCACTGATTAATTGTTCTAACTGTCAGGAAGTTTCTCCTCAGTTCTAAGTTGCTTCTCTCCTTGATTAGTTTCCACCCATTGCTTCTTGTTCTACACTTTACCCTTGGAGAATAGCTTGACTCCCTCTTCTTTGNATGCCCAGTTCCTGCAACTGTTATTCATATGCTTGAGCCTCCAGTCCCCTCATCATCCTGGTTGCTCTTCTCTGCACTCTTTCTAGAGTCTCAACTTTTTTATAGTGTGGTGACCAAAACCGGATGCAGTACTCTAGGTGTGGCCTTACTAAGGCTTTATAGAATGGTATTAGTACCTCCCTTGTTCTTGATTGTGTCCTCTGTTAATGCAATTTAGGATTGCATTGGCTTTTTTGGCTGCTGCTGCACGCAGCTAACTTATATTTAGCTGGTTGTTCACTAAGACTCCAAGATCCTTCTGACAGTCACTGCTATTAAACCTGGTTTCACCCAGTCTATATGTGTACCATAGGGTCCCCAACCCCCAGGCCATGGCCTGTTCAGAACTGGGCTGCAGAAGTGTTGAGCAAGTGTAGCTCCACTTGTGCGAATGGCAGATGTGCATGCCTGTTGCTCAAGCAAATGGAGCTGCACGCATGTGCACACTGACCCACCACTCACATGGAACTATCCTCTCTCATCCCCCTTGCCAGAGAGGTTGGAGTCCATGGTCTTTTACCATCCTGGACAAATGGCTGTCCAATCTCTTCTTGAAAACCTCCAGTGATGGAGACCCACTACCAGAGGTGGGTTCCAATCGTTTAGACTGGTTCGGCCGAATAGGTAGCAACTTTGCGGCTGGTCACTGGAACAAGTAGTGACCCAGTCCTGCCATGCCCCCGAATCAGTACTCCTACGGTGGTGCCATCTTGTTTTTCAGTTCTGCGCATGCGCAGAACAATTTTTATTGCAAAAAATTAATTTCGTTTCAATTTTTTTTAAGGTTTTGCGCATGCATGTATGCAGAGCACAATTTTTTTTGCATGCATCGAACCGAGAGTCATGCCGGCAGCAACCCAGCCCTGCCCACAACCCTTGGAGACGATCTATTCGATTGATTAATTCTTCTCCCTGGCAGGAAATTTCTCCTTCGTTCTAGGCCAGCAAACTTAAATACTCAAAGAGCCACAAAGGTCCTAACCGGAAGCCCCCTGTTCAATTCTGGAGCCGACCAGAAGTCTNCACCTGAGGGTAGAAAAGAAGCAATGGGTGGAAACTAATCAAGGAGAGAAGCAACTTAGAACTGAGGAGAAATTTCCTGATAGTTAGAACAATTAATCAGTGGAACAGAAGTTGCCTCCAGAAGTTGTGAATGTCCCAACACTGGAAGTCTTTAATAAGATGTTGGAGAGCCATTTGTCTGAAACGGTATAAGGTTTCCTGCCTAGGCAGGGGTTGGACTAGAAGACCTCCAAGACCCCTTCCAACTCTGCTATTGTATTGTATTGTATTAGATAAGGACTATTTTTATGGATAATCTATAGTGACAGAATTTTGCAAATCTCAGTGTGCTTCCCCCTCCCTCAATTTATCTTCATGTGAACTAGGGAATGAATGGCTTATCTGAGATGTTTCCTCAAGTTTCTTTCTTGGCCAGCCTCCTTTGATGACACCATGGCCTTGGGTCTTCCTGTCAACCTTCAAGGCCATTCTCTCTGTCCTCTATCGTATAGTCGATTTCTAGCCACACTTGACCAATCACATTGCTGGACTTCTGGTGCTGGTTCCTTGTACCCATTGTATTCTATTTTGTCATTTGCCTTTGCTACAGGAATTACAGTTTTCATGATGTCCAATTAAACAAATGTCAACGGATGGAGCTGACATCAAAGGAAATATGGTTTGTTAATATCTACTTAGTTTGGTCCTCTAGATGCTTGGAGGAAAAAGAGCATTGTATGTGTCACTGGTTCTGAGGAACACCATCAAGAATCTAAAAATTTTCTGAACCAGGTTTAGGGTTTACTATGTTGTGTGAACCTAGCATAAGAGGTTTTAGACTTACCTGGCTTAATCAGCACTTGAATGGTGATTTTCCTTCTTTATTAGCTTGGAAGGTAATCATTTTCATGATGAAGATCTCAAGAACTTGTGCTAAGCGCTGAGAAGTTGCAGCAGTGAATTAGAAGTAGAATGAGTATTCATTCTTGTCAATTAATGTGAATGTCCTGAGCTTGGGAGCACTTTGAAATTTTGGATGTCTGCATCAGTATGTATATATTAGTGTTCCAGAAGCTTCCATTTTGGAGAAGATACATTGGGATGCATCCAGAGGTGGATTGCTCCCGGTTTGGCCCGGATCAGGTGAACCAGTAGTAGCGGCGGCGGGAAGCTTCACCCACCTGCACGGACGCTTCTGCACATGCATATAATTTTTTGCGCGTGTCAGAAATATTGCACAGAAGCATCACCTGGGAGCACACTTGAACTGGTAGTAAAAAAAATGAACAACCCACCTTTGGATGCATCTAAATATTTTGAAATATTCCACTGGGTCCTGTGCCCAAATCAATAAAATTAAAATATTGCCTCAATTAAATTCACAGTCTAAAGTAGAATATGCAATAACAGAAGATAAATATGCAATTTGGATTAGTAATCTCTTCTTTGCATTCTTTTCTTTCTACTAACATCAGTTTGTCAAATAATTCTTTCGGGGACTCAGGAGTCCTGAAGATAATGAGTTCCATCCAAAATCTGAACAATTTGAATTCTTTAATGTAAGTAAAGGCTTCTCTTTAATTAGTGATATCTGTAGAGATAAATATCCTCAGACAGCTCTTAAATAATCCTGACCCACCATAGTTTTCTGTTCTGACTCCCTCCTCCGTTCAGTAATGAAAGCCGAGACAAGCATAAAATGTAATGTCTTTTAATAACAAGACCTGACTCTCGGTGGCTGAAAGCCAAATAAACAAACAGATAAGGACTTCGGCAGCAAGTCCGACAAACCTTGGCAGCAATGCAAACAAACTCTGGCAGCAATCCAATCTGCCAAGTTTGTTTCTCTTTAGTCAAAAGTTGACTTCTGCAAGAAGGGCGTGGCACAAGCAGTCTCTTTTATAGTCTGGGAGAGGAGTTTAATGACCATCAGCTGAGCTTAATTACCTCCTGTAATTACGTAGTTGTTCTTGATGCAGTAGCCCTTCGANATGCTGTCGCTTTAAATCGGAACTGAGCATGCCTGGCTGTGGAATTCTGGGAGTTGAAGTCCAGAAGTCTAAAAAGTGCCTCACCAGGGCTAAAGTTGACTGCACGTCACTGCTCTAGCTCAAGGTTGATTCAGCCTTCCAACCTTCTGAGGTCAGTAAAATGAGGACCCAGATTGTTGGGGACAATATACTGACTCTGTAAACCGCTTAGAGAGATTGCACTGTGAAGCGGCATATAAGTCTAAGTGCAATTGGCTATTTGATTCCTAATATGGGTAGTCCTTGACTTACAACCATTTGTTTAGCAACTGCTTAGAGTTGCAACGGCACTGAAAAAAGTGACTTATGACAAGTCCTTGTGCTTATGACCATCACAGCATCCCTATGGTGATGTGATCAAAATTCAGTTGCTTGGCAACCAACATATATTTACATTTGTTATCATGTTCCAGATTCATGCAATCACCATTTGGCATCTTCCAGCTGGCTTCTCACAAGCAAAGTTAATGGGAGAAGCCAGATACGCTTAACAAACGCACAATCCACTTAACAACTGCAGTGATCTGCTTAACAACTATGGGAAAAGACATAGAATTGGGCGTGACTCACTTAACAACCACCATGCTTATCAATGGAAAACCTGGTTCCAATTGTGATTGTAAGTCAAGGACCACCAATTGATTTTTTGCACTCTAAAGTACATTCAAACTGAGTTTTGCCTGCCATGAGCTTAGAGACACAGCTGGGTGGCCTTGAGCCAGTTATTCTCTCTCAGCCCTAGGAAGAACCTCGAAAAACATTATCCAGAAGGTTGCATGAGCTAGTGGACATAGATGCCAAGACAAGACAGAGTCACCACCTCCCCAAACAACAACAAACTCAGAGACACACAACCCATACATTGCAGTTGTTCATCTGTCTTGAAATAAAAGTTGCTCATTTCCCCAGAATTCCCCAGTCAGCCATGCTGGGAGTTGGTCCACACGACTTAAAGTGGCCAAGGTTGGACACCACTGCACCAAGCCACCAGTTAATATTAATGTGGCATTTATTGTTATAGCTGTTTTCTAACAATCTCTCTTTCTTGTGATGTGATTTGGTTCTCTGCAGTTTAAGCAACAACCAGCTCTCGCTTAAGAGCATTTTTTATCTCCTGGACTTGGTGAATCTTTGCCCAAATGTTGTGAAACTGGAAGCCAGGTATGCATGGGGCGAATCAAGACAAGAACAATTCAATTTTGAAGAGAAGTGACTGTTGTTACAATTTGGGGCTGAAGGTTGAGCAGCAGAAGCATTTTAGCTTTCTTATATGTGCCCACTTTTGATTGGCCGAATGTTCCCTGGAAAAGTTTGAATTGCATGTTTGCACTTATGCAGAATCAATTTATTTCTAAATCAAATGCAGGTAGTCCTTGGCTTATGACCATGATTGGACCAATTTCCATTGTTAAACAAGATGGCCATTACACAAAATCACAAAAAATTTTACAACCTTTTTGCCACGCTTGTTAAGTGAATCACTGCAATTGTGAAGTGAATCATGCAGTCATTAAATCCAGCTTCTCCCATTGACTGCTTGTTGGAATCTCACTGGGAAGGTCACAAATAGTGATCACATGATCCCAGGACATTGCAACTGTCAGTTGCCATGCACTCACACATGACTGTAAGGATGGTATGATGGTCGTAACTGCAAGGCCAGGTTGTAATTCGTTAGCTTGATTGCCATTGTAACTTTGAATGGACATTAAGCAAACAGTTGTAAGTAGAGGACTACCTGTATAGAATAGCCTGCTTCAAAGGGAATGAAATCTGAATGGGCACTGGGCTTCTGGAACTTCTCACCACGGGAAATGGAGGTGCATGGAACAGTGTGTTCGTGCATCATTTCTTAGGCTATTTCCTGCAGATCTTTTGTCAACTTTAGCATCAAGATATGATCTTAAAGGGGGGAAAGAAGAGGAGGATGGAAGGGAGAGAAAGAGTAGGAGAGAGGGTGGGAAGGGGAAGAGGAAGAGTAGGAGTAGGGGAGAGGTAAGGGAAGAAGGAAGGGGAAGGAGAGGAGAAAGGAAGGAAGTAGANTATCTATCTATCTATCTATCTATCTATCTATCTATCTATCTATCTATCTATCTATCTATCTATCTATCTACATACACACACAGTACACACAAAATAAATATTTTTTCCCCCTGAGAAATATTTACATGTGGCCTCCCCCATATTTTACTTATTAAATTTATATCCCACCAGGCAGTACCTGGTTGTCACTCTTCCTATTTCCCCCCACAACTATGCTGTGAGGTATGTTGAATTGAGAAGGAAAGGCTGTATTTGTTCTCCCTTGATCTTCGTCCAACTGCACCGTAATGAACCTCTGGAATATCTGTGCAGTGTTTTACAGAGTGAATTGCACCTACTACAGTTTATTCACATCTTAATTTCATGTGCCATTTAGTTGCAGTTAGGTTTCTATGCTTAGGTTTCATATTATGGTAACTCTGTTTAGCTGAGTGCCATAGGTAGCTTAGAGAACATAGAATCATAGAGATGGAAGGGATCTTGGAGGTCTTCTAGTCCAACCCCCTATTCAAGGCAGGAGACCTTCTAAACATAAACAATGGTTTATAAAAAGACAGGGACTATCTGTCAGCTAAAATAAAAACAACTATCACACCCTGGTTTAATGAAATGTATGAACACACAATCTCAAAACATAGTTCAGCAAACTGTGGCTTGACGCCATACAAAACAATATTTTGTATTTGAGATAAAAGTCTAATTCATAAAATAGAAAAGACTGGGATGGTCACAAAACAACTTATTTTATTCTCTGAAACATTCAATGATATTTTCTGCTTAGCAAGTAATTGCCATGGATTTGCAACAGCAAGTTTATTATATTTTAAACAGTTTAAGCGATAACAAGATGTCTGCAGGAACCGTCCTGGCCTTCAGCAAAGCAGCTGCAAATTGTCCAAGAGTTTCCAAGCTTCAAATAAGGTACCAACTGCCAAAGATTGCAAGAGAAAAAAAAGCCATAGGAGAATTCTTCCCCCACTCCCCTGTCTTAAAATAAGATATTCTTTATCTCTTGATTATGAGATAAATAGCAGATTGCTAGCCTTGTGGACAACTGTCATTAATGCTGTTCCATGAAGCTGTTTTGTTGGATGGGTAGCAAAACTCAACTCATATATTATTTTTCCATTTCTTTTTCCAGGAAGAGCACCTTAATAATCTCCTTTGTCAACCTGTCTCCAAAAGAACCTAGGTGAGAAACTGGTTTTAAGGAATTAAAGGGTGATATGTTAACAGTGCTCAATATTTGAAGGGCTGCCACAAAGCTGATGGAGTCAACCTATTATCCAAAGTATCTGAAGCCAGGACAATAAGCAATCAAGGAGAAAAGCAACCTAGAACTAAGGAGGACAGAACAATTAATCAATGGAATTAATTGCTTTTGGCAGTTGTGGGTGCGCTTTCACTGGAAGTTTCCAAGTAGAGATTGGACAACCATTTGTCCAAAATAGTGTAAGGTCTTCTGGTTGAGTAGGGAATTGGACTAGAAAACCTCCAAAGTCCCTTCCAATTCCATTATTCTGTTAATCTGGTTATTCTGGTTCACAGTAATTTCTGAAATTCCTTTTAAAGAAAAATTGGCAGAGGTTAATCATATTAACCTCCCATCACATTAAGAAGAGACTAAACAGTCACTTATCTGAATTAGCATAGGTTCTCCTGCTTGAGCAGGGAGCTGGACTAGAAGACCTCTAAGGTCCCTTCCAGCTCTATTCTATATTACTCTATATTTAAAGAAGTCCAAAAGACAGAAATTGCAACATTGGGCAGACCAAAGGAAAAAAGTTTTAAGAGGACAGAAGTTTATTTTCCAAATTGAAAAAAAAAAGTAGGATTTAGGATTAATTTAAATCCCAATGATTTTCTGGGATGTTTTGAAAGTCTCAATTGAACTAGTTATGTTTTTTTGCATTGTGTGTGCATGTGCATTTCAATTTATTTTTACTTAAAATAGAGATGTACTTTCAAAAAAGGTAACACCAAACCTATAAATGGACAGATAATGACCGAAGTCATACAAGTAATGGTCAGTATAAAATTAATAAGAGTACATCTATTTGTTTTCATGACATAAAAAGAAGTTTTTTTTTCAATTTAAAGCCAAAATCTCTGTATATTATTATCTATAGTCTCAATCAAATCTCAATCAATTCATATTGACTGTATGTCATGGTTTCAGATTAAAAGATATGGGAATTAATGAAGAAGAAATTGCTCCTAAACCCAGTTTAATTTTACAGTAAGTATCTCTGTATGTCAGAATTTATCGGTGGCACATTTTAAAAAAAGTTTATCCAAGTAGTATTTTTAGATTTGTGCATGTTTTTAATTAACAAATAACAATTAACAAACAATTAAGTTTGTTTTAAATAACAAACACAGGGGCTTTATTACATGAAGATATACCCAGAATTTGGGGGGGGGGAAATGAGAGAGACCCTATACCTTAAAATTATTTGAGAATACAATAAAGCTCTAATGCATCATACTGTATTTATAACAATAATGTATGCAGATGATTTTTAATTTGGGATTTTATGACAAGACAGCCCAAACAACACGGCATGTACATCTTTGAAAAAAAAATTCAGAAAAGTGACTTCAGATCATGCGTGAACCCAGCATCACTAAAGCAGCTGGTTCAATTTCAGGTTTCCATTCAAAAGTTGCAGTTGTTTGAAGGAACTCAGCACCCCTAAGAATTCATGCAATTTGCCAGACGGATGCATTTGGGGAGATTTGTCGGGGAAATGCACCGTCGGTGTCCAAATAATTGGAGATGCTGACACAAGCTGGTAGTTTTATATCAATAAATGTATTTTGCAACTGTATATATGACAAACTAGATAGTGGGGCAAGTGGGAGCATCATTAGGTAAATCAACACAGCAGGAACATCCTGAGGTAAATTCTCACACAGCACCTGCAGAAGAAAAAAGGCGGGAAAGAAGAAATGTCCCCCTCATAGCAATCAATCACAGTTTAGGTTACCTCACCTAGTGGCCAGCTCTCTTCAAACAATTAGCTATAATAACTATGTGTCCTTACTCATTGCACAGGCAGTCCTAGACTTATGACCACAACTGAGCGCAACAAATGTCTGTTGTTAAGTGAGACATTTGGTTCAGTGAGTTTTGCCCCCATTTGACCACCTTTCTTGTCACTTGTGTCATAAGAGGATAAGTTAGTAACACAGTTGTTAAGTGAATCTGGCTTCCCCATTGATTTTGCTTGTCAAAAGCACCTGACCTTGGGACAAAGCAACGGTCGTAAGCATGAACCGGTTGCCAAAGATCTGAATTTTGATCACAATGAACATGGGAATGCTACGAAGGTCATAAGTGTGAAAAATGGTCATCAGTTGCTTTTTTCAGTGCCGTTGTAACATCAAACAGTCACTAAATGAATTGTTGTAAGTGAAGGACTATCTGTGCAACCCTTCACTGTTCTAGCTATTAAATTAAATATCTGTAAAAGATTCCTGTGAAAACTTGGACAGCAATAGAAAAGTCCTAGTTCTCTGCTGGTACTAGATTCAAAATACATTTCTGGATTATTCTTGAAACATTTATAGTCCTATAAACCATAGCCCTATTCTGAAATTCCAGTGAAAGAGAAATATATTGGAATATTTATTTATATTGGATATATTAAATATATTGGAATATTTATTTTGATTGATTGATTATGTTGTTGCTTTTTCCACTCCCAGTGTTCACATTGATAGATTTTCTCCAGGATGATTAGTCACTAAATTGGTCCCATTGCTGCTGTAACTGACTCCATCCCCCTTGCTGTTGGTCATCCAAAATCATAGGACGGGACATTGGAGGTTTTCTAGTCCACCCTCTGTCCCCACTATACCATCCCAAACAAATGGTGCTAGCAAGATTTCAATATTTGAGGGGCTGACGTAAAGAAGAAGGAGTCAACCTATTTTTCAATGTGCTAGAAGGCAAGACAAGAAACAATAAATGGGAACTAATCAAGGAGACAAGCAACCTAAAACTAAAGAGAAATTTCCTAATGGTGAGAACAATTAACCAGTGGAACAGCTCACCTCCAGAAGTTGTGGGAGCTTCGTCACTGGAGGTTTTTAAGAGGAGATTGGACAGCCATGTGTCTGGAATGGTATAGAGCCGTGATGGTGAACCCATGGCATGCGGCACACAGAGCCATATTTGGTGGTGGCACGCCAGCTGTCAGCTCTGGCACGCATGCACGGACTGGCCAGCTGATTTTTCTCCCTTCCAGAGGGCCAGGGGAAGCCAATTTTGTCCTCCCCTGGCTTCAGGAAAGCCCCTGGAACCTGGGGAGGGGTCATGTGTGCAAGCACAGTGGCTGTCATGCNTTGTGTTTCCAACCACACTTGGCCAATAAAAAATTCTATTCTATTCTATTCTATTCCATTCTGTTCTACTCTAAGATGGTGGGTAACTGAACTACACTGCTTTTTGTAGATGTGTGTCTATCTCCCTAGAAAAAAATGAAATGTGGATGGAAGAAAGAAGAACTATAGCAGAAAGCATCCACATAAATTGGTACTTTCTATTTGGCTGTGACCCTTGTGGTGGCCATTTTGTGAATGGGTAAATTTCCCCAGCAGCCATTTTGTGGATTCATCCACATTTTCTCAAAATTCTAAATCCCTTAGTCCAAACAAGCTACAGTCTCATATATCGTACAAATAGATACAACAGTGATACAATGTTGAACAAGTTAAAGATCTACTATCTTCATTAGCACAAGAGGGTAAACTTAATTTTCTTTGGCTTAGTGCAGGGGCTTTCAAACTTGGCAACTTTGTGGACGACTGACTCCCAGAATTCCCTCGACAGCCATGCTGGCTGGTGAATTCTTGGAGTTGGTCCACAAGTCTTAAAGTTTGGAGATCCACGTCTTTGTCTATTATGGAAACTCAGAGCATTTAGTTCAATAGATTGGGTAAACCAAGAGAAGTAGGTTAATTCATCAATTTATCATGGTGGTGGATCAAGCATGGTTGCAAACCCAGCTTCCGTGTTGTTACTTCTGTCCTCTTCTCCCACTTTTTTGCAGCATCAGAGATAATGCTTTTTCATTCATTGGGATTTACGTGCTGGCTAATTCATTCAACCAGTGCAGGAGAATCTCTGAAGTGGACATCAGGTAAGCAATGAAAGCTTGGAATAAGACAAATGTAGATGGATTGAAGCCTATTGTGATGGAGGAACCTATAATCCCATCTCCCATTTCTTGCCTCATGAAAATTTCTTGTTTAGGGATAGATATACAGGTATCCTTTGAAATTTAATCTGCATTTAATTTGTTGGAGAGGAGAGGGGAAAAAATCTCCAAAGACATATGGGGAAACTCTCCCTTAGAGGAAGCACTACAGTCAGGATAACCCATTCTTAATACAGGTAGTCCTCAACTTACGACCACAATTGAGCCCAAAATTCATGTTGCTAGGTGAGACATTTGTTAAGTNCTCGCGCCTGCCCACTCGCTCAAAAGGAGGTTTTAACCTCCGAAGTCCCTACTGCCCATCTGGAATCCCAAAACGCCCACTAGTGGGCGGTAGGGACCAGGTTGACGACCCATGAACTAGACATACCCAGTTCCTGCCACCGTTCTTACCATTATATACCCTTGTATAAGGGAGTGAGAGACAGATACCTTGGTCTATATACCAAATGAATGACCCATTGGGATCCCCATATCAAAACAACTTACTTTATGTGTGGCCAGAACCAGGAAATAATGTTTAACACAGCACAGGACTTAAACAAAATGGTTCGGTTGAGATCTGCATATGTGGGACTGATTGGGGGTAGCTTATAGGAGTAACACTGAAATATAATTTTATCAGATTTTATCTATCTCTTAAATTATTGTATTCTATTCCAATTTCATTTTCGACCGTGTTTTATTCCAATTTCGTTTTAAATCATATTTTATTCCAATTTTGTTTTAAATTGTATTTTACCAAATTCCATTTTAAATTGCTTTTCTCAAATTTTAGTAATCATTTGTTTCTGGAACGTTGCAGCATATGGAATTTTTTCATATCAGCCCTCCAAGGCTGTTGTGGAACGTGCATTGCAGCATGTTCAAGTTAATATCCGTTGGAATTAGGGGACAGTTATGGCCTTTTTGCCCATATAAACATTGCCATTGGATGATTATCTGATATGTCTTTCCCAGATGCTCCTGAAAGTTACAGTCAATGCATCCTCCGCTTGATGCGTAGAAAATATGGAATTAGCCACTCTGCGGAAGCAGCAAAAACAAAAGATCAGTTCTCGTCTTTCAGCCAAAGGTTTGTCAACCTTGTCATCCATCAAAGCAAAACATCTAAGTTGAAAGTGGGAAAAGAGAAAATGAAAGAGGAACCAATGGCCGCCTATGAATCCAAGGATCATGACATCCCAATGATGAACTTGTCTGATCTTTTCAAAAGTGCCCAGATGGGCATCACCCAGGTTGTTCTACTTTTGGGCAAGGCTGGAGTGGGGAAATCATGGTTAGTTCACAAAATCTGTCAGCAGTGGGCTGAGGAAGCCTTTCCCCAGTTCAAATGGATCTTCTTCTTTGAGTTCAAGCAGCTGAACCTCATCAAGAGGAAACTAACTCTCCAAGAACTCTTGTTTGATTATTTCCTCCAACCAGAGCAACCAGAAATGGTGTTTCAATTTCTCCTGAAGAATGCCCACCAGACCTTGGTCATTTTGGACAGTCTTGATGAGTTCATGGACAACATTGACCTCCCACCCATTTCCTTCGACCACTACTCAAATCTTCTCATACCTCGTTCTGTCTCTGAACTGGTGGCTAATCTTTGCCATGGAAAACTCTTGCCAGGTTGCACAGTGCTGATTACCAGTCGGCCAAAGCAACTCCCTACATTATTAGTCAGAAGTACCGTCCTGTCAGTAGAAATTTGGGGATTCAACCATGACAAAGTTGCGGAATATGTTAGCTGTTTTTTCCAACAAGCTTTTCAGAAAGAGCAAGCCCTTGCTCTTCTCAATGAAAATGGCAAACTCTTGAGCATGTGTTACATCCCTGTGCTGTGTCACATTATTTGCATCTGCCTGGAACATTTGTTCCTTGAAGACTCAGAAAGTGTCCAACTCCCTCAAACCAGGACCCAGTTTTACCTGAGAATGCTACAGACCTTCCTCTGCAAACATCAGGGTGGGAGGACTTTGAATGAAGTAGACATGGCTCAACATCAAACAATCCTTGGAGATCTGTGTGAGTTAGCCTTCAAGGGTCTTGAAGAGAAGAAAGGGGTTTTTGATGCTGGAGAGGTCCCGGAACATGTGAAAGATTTTTCTTGTCGCTTTGGTCTCCTTTTGACCTCTGAAATGAAAATGGGCAAGGACTCTACACAAGCAGGTTACACTTTTGCTCATTTTAGCTTGCAAGAATTCTTGGCAGCGCTCTTCCTGTTGACAAGCCCAACAGTAGATGGCAAGATGTTGAAGGAGAACTTCTTCCTGAGGACAAAATGGACACTGAAGAAAGAGACAAGGATGCCATTTACAGAAAACAACTATGTCTTCTTGTCTGGCCTTTTATCTCAAGAATGTAGACAATTCCTGTGTTCCTTAGCTGGGCGAAATGAGGTCAGGATTCAGGAACGGCAAAGTATTATCAGGAAGATATTGCAGAAACTCGCAGTTGCTAATTTAACAGGACCCAGGATAGTAGAGTTGAGCCACTGTGTGTACGAGACACAAGACATTTGCTTAGCACACCACATTGCAACAAAGCTAAGTTTCACATTCAGAAACGTCAAGTTGATGCCCTTCGACATGGTGACTTTAGCCTTTCTAATCAATGGAGGTTCTCATGGCGTGTGCTTGGATTTTGATGGCTGCTTCATGGAGTTGGATTACTTGGACATCTGGGGCAGTTGTGAACCTATAAAGAGCTTGAGGTGAGAGACAAAGGCCAACTTGACCATCATTTATACATTTGTGTGTGTGCATGAAATAGGATTCTGGCAATCTTTTCATTTGCAAGTGTCATAAGGTAAACCTCTTGAAGCAGCTCTTGCTACACACAGAATAACAGAAGACCTCTTATTATCTTGCAAGATTCCAAAATTTGGGGGAGCTTGGGGCATATTTATCTTGAGATCTTGCAAGATCCTACGTGAAAATGCTGTATTTCCATGAAACGTGGGGTTTCTGAACAAGAGCACAAAATATTACGAGATGTTAGTCAATTCTGAAAAAAAAATTGTTTTCATTTTAATTCAATTTTGTATCATGAGTTACATTTGTGAGGGCAGCCGTCCAGAATTATCCTGTGATAAAATGATTGGCTAATAAATAAAGAAATNGATCAGCAAGGACTTGTCTTCCTAGTCACCGTCTCTTCGGGACAGTTTAGGTCCTGCCGGACCATCCAGGGGCAAAAGTGTCATTGGCGGATTCGGACTGTCGAGTCCGCACGATGTAACGTCACGATGTTGGCTCGTCCTCTCTTGGATATTCTGGATTTTTGAAGATTCTGCTATATTTGTTAGAAGGTGGAAGAGAGAACCCTGCGATGGCTTTCAATTGCATTCTTTTAAGTTCTAGGCATATTTATCTTTAAAAAAAAACCTGGGGATCTTGGAATAGAGAATAGTTTTAAGGTTTGAACAGAATAAAAAGGCATATCCATGCTTTTTTTCTCAAATTGTTAATTTTTCTTTCTTTGCCAGTTTGTGCTCTGAAAAAATGCTGCTTATCACACTCAAGAAACAAGATAAACCTCAAAAGATCCTGAGGTAAGTGAAATATTACTCAAATTCTCCTTTTAGCAATTTAGAGTATTTTGTAAATTATTTCTGGAGTCTGTCATTGTTCAAAGCCTCTTCTATGAGAACTGTCAAGCTTCACCATGAAGTCATCTTATTTGAAAGGCTTGTGTACATCATTCCTGATGGATTTTTTTTTAAGGTAGGGCCCCTACAATACACTTTCATTGCAAATTTCCCTGTTTTTAATATTTTTTACAATATAAATGAACTTTAGTGCAAGATGTTGTGTGTGTTTGTTTCAACTATCCATCTGGGGTTTGATTTTCAAAATGTTGATGGTTGAGTTCACACAACTTGCTAAATATGGTTACTTAATTGGGCTCCTTCTGTGCTTCCCCCAAAATAAGACAGGGTAATAAGCACTTGGCCTTATTTTCGGAGAGGTCTTATTATTTTTGAGGTGCAGCAGGTGCTGTGTTGCAATATTTTTGGGGAGGGCTTATTTTAGCACATGCGCTCAAAAGCCCGATTAGGCTTATTATCCAGGGAGGTCTTATTTTCAGGATAGTTGCAAGCTGTACTCCCTCCCTCAGCTCCCTGTTGTTTGGAAAAGAGGAGGAAGAGGAAGGTGTGTTGGATATGATTTGCTGCCTCAGTGATTTGTAAACTAATAAAAGGGAGAGATATATACAGCTGGTCCTCAACTTACAACTGTTTGTTTAGTGACCCTTCGAAGTTACAACAGCACTGAAAAAAGAGACTTAGGTCCATTTTTCACACTTATGATAGTTGCAGCATCTCCATGATTGTGTAATTTACACTCTGATGCTTGAAAAGGGATTCATATTTATGATGGTTGCAGTGTCCCAGGGTCACCTGATCCCCTTTTGTGGCCTTTTGACAAACAAAGTCAACAGGGAAGCCAGATTCACTTAATAGCCATGTTACTCATTTAACAACTGCAGGAATTCATTGCAGATACAGTGAATGTGACAAGAAAAGTCATAAAATGGAGCAAAAATCACTTAACAAATTTCTCACTTAGCCACATAAATTTTGGCCTCAATTTTGGTCATAAGTCAAGGACTACCTGTACACATACATATATTCCATACACACTCTCTCTCTCCTCTCTCTTCCTNAGAAACTTAACAACCGGTTCTCCCGAAGTGGTGCGAACTGGCTGAATCTCACCACTGAGTGTATCTCAACCTTAGGGAATGTTAACTCAGAATTCTGACTGGAGAATTCTGGGACTTGAATTCCATGCATTTTTAATATTGTCGGAGAAACATTGCACCATAGCAATATTTCAGCAACATTTCTCCTTATTTATAGCTCTTTCTATATTTTACAATAGGCTGGCCAAAAAGAGTAGGAATGATATTTATGCAAATTAATTAGCTGGAACTGGATTGTTTTTCAAAGCTTGTCCATAGCAAAGACAACAACTACCTTAAACCCGTATCTGTGGAGATGGGCTCAGAGTGGAGATATCACATCAAGTTGCTGCACAATTGAAAAATCCTGGTTGAGAAGTCAAATTCATCTCACTTGAGAAACTGGGATGCTACATTCATTTAGATGAATCACTTTACTCATAGCATTTCCGCATTCTCTCATAGTTTGGGAAGCATCCAGAAATGTCGCTTACGCTTCGGAGAACATATAAGGTGAGGATTGTCTTCATTTTGATGTACCTTTCTTTTCAGGAAGGATTTATCTTGATTATGGATTAATGCTGGATTCAATTTTGCATTCAGGTTTCAAAATTTGCCCATTTCTGATCCAGTATTTCAATTAAAAATCAATGGACCTTCACTAGGTTGGACCAATGGACTGTACTACTATTTAAACTTCACTGTGTGACAGGAGCAACTTTTTTCCCCACCCATGTTTAAAAAAACACTCTGCATTGCTATCAGCACCAAGGGATGGGTTTTTTTCCCCGAAGTACAGGTAGTCCTCAACTTACAACAGTTCATTTAGTGACCATTTAGGGTTTCAAGGGCACTAAAAAGTGACTTATGACCATTTTTTAGACTTAAACTGTTGCAGCATTCCCACTTGATCCAAATTCGGACACTTGTTAACTGACTCATATTTATGATGGTTGAAGTGTCCCGGGGTCATGTGATCACCTTTTACGACCTGACAAGCAAAGTCAAAGGGGAACCCGGATTCACTTAACAACTATGCTGCTAACTTAGCAATTGCAGTGATTCACTTAACAACCACGGTAAAAAAGATCATAAAATGGGGTACAAGTCTCTTAACAAATCTTCCACTTAGCAACACTACGTTTGGGCTTCATTGTGGTTGTAACTTAAGGACTACCTTTACCTTTTTTGAAAATTCCTTTTTGGTCACTCTTGGAAGTACTAGTGGAGGTCTTTCAGCAGCTACATAAAACTTAAAAAGAAATGGATCTCTGCTGTGGATTTTTTTTTCAGGGAAGGAATTCGTTTTAAGTTCCTGAAAATTGTTCCATCTCACCTCTGTTTCACTATGAACTTGCTAGAAGCAATAAACAAATATACAAGGATCCCAAAAGAAATATAGCCCCCAATTTTGAATATTATAGGAGGAGAGCTCTTTTGATCCATGATAGCCTAAAATCAGACAGAATATGGTAGCATCTTTACTAATACATTTTATTAAAAGACATCAGTTTGGGGCACACAATAAATAAACCATGTTAGTTGAAAAAGATGCTGTCAGATTTCTTCCGATCTTGGTATAAAGATGCTTGTTGGTCAACCATTTGAGCTATCACTCGACACTGAAGATCCAGATGTTTTGCCTGCAGAAATTTATCAGTCCAACACTAGCATCAACTAAAAAGATTGGGTAACACAAGTTCAAAAGGTATCAATAAAGGAGAATAGTTGTAGCTCAGGATTGAAATGAGGAGCCCTTGATGCTCTCTAAGCTAGACAGCAGCGAGGCAGAGGAACAGCTGGAGCCTGTTCCCAGTGTGCAGAGCTGTCAGAAGACAAGAACAACTAAGAAAGCAGGGCCGACTTGGGAATAAAGCAACACTTTGGAGGTGATTGGCCCCTCCCATAGGAACAAAAGAGGAACGAACGAGTAGTGGGTTTTTGCAGGAAAAAATTCGTTCATCGGTCTGGAAAGTTCTGTTTCTGAGAAACTCTGTGCCAAGTTTTGATTTGCTCTGTGTCTGGATACCCTTATGCTAACGGGATAAGCTGCATGTGGATAAACATTCCTTTGAAAGACTGTTTGATAAGCCTTGCTGACTGTGAATGAAAGGAATTCACAGTGAATTATTTATTCATGTAAATAAAAGAGGTTTCGTTGGGACTAAGACTTTGCTTTTGCTTTCTAAGGAAGCCTGGGTCAGAACACTAGGTAGCATCATCAGTGCTGGACAAGATGGACCGTAGTTTTTCNCCGTACATACATATAGCTTAGGTTCCATAACTACCATTTGCCAGTTTCTGGTTTGTGTTTGTTTAAAAGCAAATATATTGCTTCTGTTGTTGGGGCCTCTACTAGTTTTCACAGTAGCTTGGGGGAATATTTAAAAATAATTAAGAAACCAACATGTTAGACATCTATCAGCATGCAAAGGATGAGATTCTGGCAGATGGAAGGAGCTGGACTTTGCTCTTAAGCACTGTTTCTCTCCCTTAGCAACTTTAAGATGCATGGACTTCAACTCTCAGACTTGCTCAGCAAGCCATGATGGCTGGGGAATTCTGGGAGTTGAAATCCATAAGTCTCAAAGTTGTCAAGTGTGGGGAGCCCTGGTATGAGGACTCCTGCCTTGGGCAGGGATTAGAAGATCTCCAAGGGCCCTTCTAACCCCATAATTCTATGATTCCGTAAATAAGACCGGTGGCTTCTTTATCATATCGTCCTTCTGCTTTTTGTTTGTTTGTTTGTTTGTTTGTTTGTTTGTTTGTAGCTTCAAAAACAGGCAATATGGAAGTGAGTTTGCAGGAGCCCTTTCCAAAACCTTGCCTAAGATCAAACTCCTGACAACATTTCAGTAAGTATTGTGGAACAGAGGCACGAAGAGACTCACGTTGTCGCCTCTTCTTATTCAGAACCATAGAAAGCTCCTACAGTGGCCTAAAACTGATAGTCCTCGCATTATGACCAAAATTGCTACTGGAAATTTTGTTGCTAAGCAATGCACTTGTTAAATGAACCGTGCCTGATTTTACAACATTTTTGTCATGGCTGTTTAATGAATCACAGCAGTCATTAAGTGAATCTTGTGGTTGTTAAGCCAATTTAGTTTCCCCTCCCCCCTTGACTTTGCTTGTCAAGAAGGCACCTGGGAAGGCTGCAAATGGTGGTCACATGCTTCTGGGATGCTGTAACTATCATAAATACCGTATTTTTCGGAGTAGGAGACGCACCGGAGTATAAGACGCAGCAAGGTCCACTTCAATCAACCTAGCAGTTCGAAAACACATAAAAATGCAAGTAGAAAAATAGGAACCACCTTTGGTGGGAAGGGAACAGCATTCCATGCACCTTGGGCGTTTAGTCATGCTGGCCACATAACCATGGACAGTGCTGGCTCTTCGACTTTGAAACAGAGATGAGCATCGCCTCCTAGAGTTGGGAATGACTAGCACATATGTGCAAGGGGAAACTTTACTTTTACCTTACTATAGTTCTTTCTGTCTATCTATCCACTAATATATCATACTAGTATATAATGGTATAGGAGAAGGGTGTCAAACTGGTTTGCAGCAAGCACAACAACATGCACAGGCCATGCCCACCTCAGCTCCATGAATGGGAAAACATCATGAAACGTCACATGATGGCAATGTGACACAGCAAGTTTGACACCCGTGGTACAGGATCTCCTGCTTGAACAGGAGGCTTGACTAGAAGACCTCCAAGATCCCTTTCAGCTCTATTCTATATGATGAAAGCATAATATCAATTTCAGCTTATGAATTTGTCCTTCTCCAAGTTCTCAGCAAAGAAAAGGCACAGTTATAATATGTGACATGCACATTTGAGTCCTGCATCTAATTCCAAAAACCATGATTAAAACAAGCCATGACTTAATATGCGGTATGGTATTACAGTGCATCAAAATTACAGAATCAATTTTTTTGTACATTCTATGGGAAAGTGGGATTTAGACTCCATTACAACAATGTCACTTTTTGTTTTCAGGTTAACTGGTGGAAATCTTAAAAGGCCAGGATTTGAAGATCTCGTTCGAGTTTTGCCAAACTGTCACCAGCTGGAAATAATAAAGTAATTTAAACCTTGTCATTTAGGGAAACCTATGAAGCAGTGGCATGGCTGACCCTGAATCAGAGATCTTAATATTTTAATCAGTTGCTTTATTTCAGTTTGCAGGACAATAGGTTGGAGGAGCAGGACATGATCAAGTTGGCAGAAATATTTCCCGCCATGGGAAAGTTAAAGAGAATGGAGTAAGTACAATATAAAGCAATGTTTCTCAACCTTGGCTACTTTCAGTGGTGTGAACTTCAACTCCCAGAATTCCCCAGCCAGCCAGGCCTCAAAAGTAGCTTCAAATAACTGTCATGTCTCTGACAGAATATATTTTATATCTATATCTTCTTCTGAATATATGTGTGTGTGTGTATGTGTGTGTGTGTGTGTACCGTGTTCCCCCGAAAATGTGACATGTCCTGATATTAAGGCCATGCCACATTTTTCTGGTGGGCAAAAACATAAGCCCTCCCCTGCAAATAAGCCCCCTGGAGAACCCCCCACCTCCGGCCAGGCAGTATCAACCTAGCAGTATCCTGAAGGTGCCAAGCCATGGGAATCGAGGGGGAGGCAAAGGTGATCGTGTTACTTGGTACCTTCGGGATACCGCTAGGTTGGTGAGCAGTGCTGTGCCCAGCTGAAGAGAGGGGTTGCCGGGTGACTGCTCTCTTGCGAGCGGGCTCCCAAAGAGCCGGGCACAGCCTCAAGGGCGAATGGTTGTGTTGCACTGTCGCACCAGCGCAACACAACAGCTGTGAAGCAACCATGCTCACGAGCAGCCACCCGGCAAACCCCCTTTCCAGCCAGGCACAGCGCCATTCACTGACCTAGTGGTATCACCAAGCCGTGTGAGTGAATGGCACTTTGCATGGCTGGAGAGGGGGGTTACATGAGCGGCTATTCCGCTCTTGCTCATGCGCCTCCCAGTCTCAGGATGCATGGCCCAACTCTCCCTGCAGAGCCAGGGCACCTCCTCTGCCGCTGCCATCCCAGCATGGCTTTTTCGGTGGCTTTCAGACAGAGTCTTCCAACAGTGGCTGCTCTGGGCATACACTCTATGGTTGTGGGCCAGCTGCTGGCAGAGCATATGTAAGCCAAATACCACTCAATCATCACAAAATCTCCAGAACCGTAAAGCCTACAAACTTTTATATTTGGCTCATATGTTCCTCTTGGCTTCTAGATGCTGGCTAAGTAAGGGTTTTTGGAAATGACCATCAGATCATTAGTATTTCTTATACAGTATTATATTAACGTGTTGATGCTAAGGAGTTATACGTCTACTCCCCCTCCCCACCTGAAAAAAACTCTGTTCCAACTGCCAGTTGCCTCACATTCCATTACCTCAGTTCAAACTGGCAGACGTTCCACTCTTTCACTCAGGAGCAGGCTGGGGCCCCTTACAGTACTAAACATTGGTACCGCACCATAATGTCTACCCTTTCACCTATGGAACCACTTCCGGACTCAAGGTGGTGGGAGCAATATTCTCTTATGTGTTTCAATCACCAACCATCACTGAATCAAAGGATTGAACCAGAGTTAGCCGGATTTCTCCTGCATTGCCCAATCACGTAGCTTCATTGCGAAGCACGGGTATCCAGCTAGTCTATTAATATAGCAGCTCATGTCTCGTGTTTGACCTACCCTTCTGAGAAATCATTACATTTCAAGTCATAAATTTGCCTTGTGACAATCAGCTTTATCTATATCTATATATCTATATATCTATATATCTATATATCTATATNTTTCTTGCCTCATGAAAATTTCTTGTTTAGGGATAGATATACAGGTATCCTTTGAAATTTAATCTGCATTTAATTTGTTGGAGAGGAGAGGGGAAAAAATCTCCAAAGACATATGGGGAAACTCTCCCTTAGAGGAAGCACTACAGTCAGGATAACCCATTCTTAATACAGGTAGTCCTCAACTTACGACCACAATTGAGCCCAAAATTTATGTTGCTAGGTGAGACATTTGTTAAGTAAGTTTTGTCCCATTTTACAGCCTTTCTTGCCCCAGTTGTTAAGTGAATCCCTGCAGTTGTTAAATTAGTTACACGGTTGTTAAGTGAATCTGACTTCCCTGTTGCCTTTACTTGTCAGAAGGTTACAAAACGGGGTTGCATAACCCCGGGACATTGCAACCGTCATAAATATGAGCCAGTTGCCAAGCGTGTGAACTTTGATCACCTATTGCAGCGTCCTCATAGCCAGCATGGGAATGCTGCAATGGTCGTAAGTAAGAAAAGCGGTCGTAAGTCCCTTTTTTTCAATGCTGTTGTTACTTTGAACAGTCACTAAATGAAGGGTTGTAAGTCGAGGACTCCCTGTGTCAGCGTTCCAAATATCATCCAAAATTAAATCAGAGTCCAAGGCAGAACTTTCCTCAAACTTCCAATTTATTAAGAGAGACACATTGGCACACCTGTGGAATTAGCCTTTCCAGCCCCCTCCGCCAGCATTTTCCCAGGCGCTGTAAATCTTCCAATTTCTTCCCACAAAAACTCCTTTGCACTTTGGAAGATCCATAGAGAAGCATCTCGTCATCAGCTTCTTTTCTCAAAGGTTCTATTTTCATCTTCGCTGATATTTTACACTTACCAGGTCAGGTCAGCACCCCTCGCCAGCACCCCGTGCCGGGGTTGCTGGTGATTTATTTTAAAGCAGATTCGGGTTAATGTCAGCGTTCCAAATATCATCCAAAACTAAATCAGAGTTCAAGGCAGAGCTTTCCACAGATGTGCCAACATGTCTCTCTTAATAAATTGGAACTTTGAGGAAAGCTCTGCCTTGAACTCTGATTTAGTTTTGGATGATATTTGAAACGCCGACATCCTGTACGTTTCCTTGGGATTTCATGGGAAGAAGAGAAGCCAGGAAGATGCAGACTTCTGGAGAGATCTTTATGAAATAGAAATTTATTAATTGAATAAAATCCTGCAGGAGAGGCAATCATAAGCTGAGCATTGCCTGTACACAGAATCTCCATGGAATCTGTCAAACGCCCTTGCTTTAGCCATGGAACATCAATGCGGCACATGTTGCTCAAAGAGAGACCAACCCTCTCTTGCTCTTTGTGGGATGAACAGTTGGAGGCATCCCTCCATTTTTAAAGTCCCAGGTGTTTTGACTTGAGAATGCCTCATCCCAGTGGAGGAATCTGGTTTCTAAAAGTGAACCTATTCTTTGTTATGTTTCTAGATTAAGGAAAAATGCTTTTTTGCGTTTTGTGGAAAGTCAAGCAAGCGAAGCACTCTTCTGCAGGTCTGTGACATCCAATCCAACCCTTTATGTTCTTATGACACTTTTGCTTTTTTCAAGAGCATGGATACATCTTGCATGCTTTTAAAAATCCAGGGAAGGACCCAAATAGTTCAGGCATTAGCAACTCATTCATGTACTGTATTTTTTGAAGTATAAGATGCACTGGAGTATAAGACGCACCAAGATTTTAAGAGGCAAATTTTAAAAAAAGGTTTTGCACTCTGCAGACCTCCCAAAAATGGCCCATTTTTGGTGAAAATGGGCCCATTTTTTGACAAATTAAAGGGATGCATAGCCTTTAGGAGGCTTATAGAGTACTCCTAGGGGCTGGGGGGCCAAAACCGAGCAGAAATTGTCAGTTTTTCACTTATGTTTGCCCTTCCCAGCCCCCAGAAACACTCTGAAAGCCTCCTAAAGGCTATGCATGTCAATTTTTGTGAAGAGGACGGGGTTTCAGGAGGCCAAATATGCTGTATTCAGTGTATAAGATGCACCCAGATTTTCACCCTCTTTTTTGGGGGGAAAAGGTGCATCTTATACTCCAAAAAATATGGTATGTGAAATCATGGAAAACAAAGAACTCCAATAATTAAATGGTCAAACATAGCATTTCATAAAGGCATTTTGAAGCTCAGGTTACTATGATTAGCTCTCCCTCCCTGTTTTAGTTTTGCAAGACCACACAATTTGAAGTCTCGGCACTGAATGGCTTTTCTTTGGTGCCTTTGGAGAACCCTTCCAAAATTGCTGCAAAAACACAAAATGAAAAATAAATTAAATATGTGGCAATTAATTAATTGCACTTAACTCGTTGGTTGTACTTAAATAATTGGTTGTATGCCACCTAGTAGAGTCCACCTTTGATGAGATGGGCATCACATACATTTAATAAATAAGTAAAATAATTGAATTCCATTTTAATTTGTGTTTTGTTCAAATTAGTCAGATTTAGCTTTGGTCAGGCAAGAGACAAAGGCAGAACAAAGATTTTATAGCCATCCCTATTTTGCTGAATGATGTTTAATAATTATACCTGTTCCCTTTTCTTCCTGGGTTAATTAGCCAGTTTTCAGACAAATGCATCATTATAATATCGTTTTCTACCTTTAAAGGAGGACTTGTTTCTATCTTTCACCTTGAACTGTCTTCAAACAGGTTCGTCAACTGTGGCATTGACCAGCCTCATCTCAGGGCTCTATGTGCCGTGTTTGAAAACTGTGGCCATCTTGCGGAGCTGGAGTAAGAGAATATCATTACAGTTGGGGAGGGGGGGATGTTTCCCAAAGTTCTGTGCTAAATTTGTGGGCGTGGGACCTGGAGGAATTCTGGGAATTGAAGTCTGCACATCTTAAGGTTGCCAAGGTTGGGAGACACCGATAGAGAGACAGAGATGCTGAACTGGGATTAAGGAGACTCGGATTTCCACCAAGCGTGGAGTTTGCCATCTCTCTCTCTCAACTCTACAACAAGGTTGTTCTTGTCAATTTTAAATAACAGAGGAGACCAAAACTGCTGCCTTGCACTTTCAGAGTGAAGAGGAGATATCAGAGGATGTGTTGATTGTAAACCTAAACTAATGGATTGTCACAGTTCTGAACAGATTATAAATTAATTAAAATAGATGATGGATGAAACAGAAAATGAATCAAGTCAGCCTGAGAAGCAATAGAGAAGGCAAAATGAAACTCAACCACCCCAATGGCTACAGCTCCTCCTTGACTGATCACCACAATTGAATTCAAAATTAATGCTGTTAGGCATTGGTTCCCCATTTCACAGCCTTTTTTGCCACAGTTGTTAAGTGAATCACTGAAAAATCAAAATAAGACGTCACGCAGCAGGGAAATTCTAAAATAATTAAAATAGTTGCCACAATTATCTTTAGAAAACCAAATTACTAATTACAAAATGAATCCATCAGGCAACTG